TTCTATTCTATTCTATTCTATTCTATTCTATTCTATTCTATTCTATTAATATTCTATTCTATTCCATTCCATGTTCTGTTGTTATTCTATTGCTCTATTCGCAATAGATTCTATTCTATTCTATTCTAAATTCTGTTCCATTCCATTCCTTCTGTTCTGTTTTATTTTATTGTTTTATTATTTTCTATACCATTCCATTCCATATTTTCTCCTCTCTTCCCTTCCCTTCCCTTCCCTTCCAACCCAATATTCTGTTCTGTTCTACTCTACTCCATATTTTCTCTTCTTCCATTCCATTCCATTCCAATATTCTGTTCTATTCTATTTTACTCTACTCCACTCCATATAATTTTCTTTTCTTCTTTCCCCTCTTTTCCCTTCTTTTCTTAGAAGAACCTTTTCACATTCATTTTCTCATTAGATCAGTGATGGCGAACCTAAGATGTATTTCAAAGGTAATGTGCCATGAAGTTTTGGATTGATGTGCCAGGGTTCACCAACACCTGGCAGCTATTCTCGAAAGCATGGCCCATTCTTGTGTGACTTTGGAGGGGGGCTGCCTGAGAATCGGATGTGCTCTTTCTTGTGGGACACACCTCGACCTTCAGGAAGTCAGACAAGAGTGCTATTTTTTTTTATTAATTTGATTTATATGCTGCCCTTCTCCGGAGACTCAGGGCGGCTTACAATGCGTTAAGCAATAGCCTTCATCCTTTTGTATATTTATACAAAGTCAGCTTATTGCCCCCACAATCTGGGTCCTGAATTTACCTACCATAGAAAGGATGGAAGGCTGAGTCAACCTTGAGCCTGGCGAGATTCGATCTTACTTTAATTGCAGACAGCTGATGTTAAATTACAGTGCTCTGTCTGTTGAGCTATCCAGGCTCCTATATTTGGCAGCCTCTGAAAAGCAGGTGACCACTGAGATACCGCAGAAGTTGTTAAGTGTGAAAAACGGTCATAAGTCACTTTTTTCACTGCCGTGAAAACTTCCAAATGGTCACTAAATGAACTGTTGTTGAGTTGAGGACTACCTGTAGTGAGAAAGCCACAGATCACCTATATCTCACCTGGAATTATTCTGTGAATGTAAATGTGCAACATCATTTTCCTTTGGGGGGGATGTATTATTCATAAAGAAAAGATTCCAGAAGGTTCTACATTTAAGCAAGAAAAATAAAATGCACAGGTACAGTATATATGGTACCTTGCTCAATAGTAGTAACTCTGAGAGGGATCTTGAAGTTCTAGTGGACAACCATTTAAATATGAGCCAGCTGTGTGCAGCAGCTGCCAAATAAGCCAACACAGTTCTAGGCTGCATAAATAGAGGGATAGAATCAAGATCACATGAAGTGTTAATACCACTTTATAAGACCTTGGTAAGGCCACACTTGGAATACTGCGTCCAGTTTTGGTCACCACGATGTAAAAAAGATGTTGAGACTCTAGAAAGAGTGCAGAGAAGAGCAACAAAGAGGATTAGGGGACTGGAGGCTAAAACATAGGAAGAACGGTTGCAGGATTTGAGTATGTCTAGTTTAATGAAAAGAAGGACTAGGGGAGACATGATAGTAGTCTTCCAGTATCTCAGGGGCTGCCACAAAGAAGAGGGAGTCAAGCTATTCTCCAAAGCACCTGAGAGCAGGACAAGAAGCAATGGATGGAAACTAATCAAGGAGAGAAGCAACCTAGAACTAAGGAGAAAATTCCTGACAGTGAGGACAATTAATCAGTGGAACTGCTTGCCTCCAGAAGTTGTGAATGCTCCAACACTGGAAGTTTTTAAGAAGATGTTGGATAACCATTTGTCTGAAGTGGTGCCTAACAGGGGGTTGGACTAGAAGACCTCCAAGGTCCCTTCCAACTCTATCTAAGTCAAGAAACAACAGAGTGAAACCCGAGATGTCATGAAATTAACGACAAACTTTTTGGAAGGTGGAAGAATTTGGAAGTAAACGTTGCCACCTGTTGGCTGCAGAGTTCATAAATGAAATAAGTACATCCATATCATAGGTGGGTTTCAGCAGGTTCTGACCAGTTCTGGAGAACCGGTAGCAAAAATTTTGAATAGTTCAGAGAACCGGTAGTAAAAATTCTGACTGGCCCCGCCCCCATCTATTCTCTGCCTCCCGAGTCCCAGCTGATCGTGAGGAAATGGGGATTTTGCAGTATCCTTCCCCTGGAGTGGGGTGGGAATGGAGATTTTACAGTATCCTTTCCCTGCCATGCCCACCAAGCCATGCCACGCCCACCAAGCCACGCCCACAGAACCGGTAGTAAAAAAAATTTGAATCCCACCACCGATCCATACTTTTATTCATAGGATCACCAGTTGTTAAAATTTATTATACTGTACTTTTTAACCATACTTACTCTTATGGTTGTTACTTTTTTATCATTTTAATGTCTACCAATTTTAATGTTTGCAAGCCGCCCAAAATTGCCTCTAGAAGAGTTTGGCAGTACTGTACAGATAGTCCTCAACTTACAACCGTTTGTTCTGTGACCAAACTTAAAACGGCACTGAAATAAGTGACTTTAGAACCATTTTTCCACTCTTACAGCGTCCCCTGATCAAAATTCAGATGTTTGGCAACTGACTCATACTTATGACGGTTGCAGTGTCCTGGGGATCACGTGGTCACCTTTTGCAGCCTTCTGACAAGTAAACTTAATGGGGAAGTCTGATTCACTTAATTGTGTTACTAACTTAACAACTGGCAGTGATTCTCACTTAACAACTGTGGCAAGAAAGTCGTAATATGGGGCAAAACTCACTCAACAACTATCTTGCTTAGCAACAGAAATTTTGGGCTCAATTGTGGTCATAAATTGAGGATTATCTATACATAAATTCAATGAATGAATGAATGAATGAATGAATGAATGAATGAATGAATGAATGAATGAATTACATGATTTGTTTTTCAGGTAATGGATAACCCAGGAGGAAGGTCACCTCATGGTGTTATTTCCCTACCGGTATCAAAATTGATGAGTAATTTAATTTATAGAGAAGCTGCCCCCTCAAATGTTCCAATGATGAATCGGTCGACAGAGTGAGTTGCATCCACAGTATTTAATTTGCTTGAATAATATACTTACAGATAGACAAGTTCACTCCATATACAGTTACTTGGACTTTTTTTTTTAATACAGTTCATATCCCAATACATTAATACTTTTTTTTTCTCTCCTTTAAATTATTTACACAGTACTTATGTACACGGTCTTTCTAAATTCAGTGCATTGTCAATAGGTTTTATACAATAATTTACAGAGCGAATATAGTTAAACCGTTAACTTAAATCGTTTTGTGTTTTATTTTTCCTATTAAATTTAGGAATTAATTTAACCTTTTTTCTTAAAAAAAAATATTAATCATTACAACCAATGTAACAAAGCATGGCAGATTTAAAGACGAGGCGAGTCGATCATGCTGGGTTGAAACCAAACCGTTTCAAAAGAAACATGGAAAGACCTTCAAAGAGAGACGGAGGTGATCGTCCCCTCCTGTGTTTAAAGTGGGGATTTTCTCCATGCTCAGAGAGGTCAAGATAATGGACATTAGGGGCCAATGCATTGTTAAAATCTCTCTCCCCACCCACCCAGGATTTGGCTACCCCGCTAAGTACATCACAAGGTTGACAGGCATCATACTATGTGTTCAACAAGATGCTGGCTTGGTTTTGGCAAAAGAGGAACGTGGCGCTATTAATCACACAACTGAGTGGTGGCACCCATTAAAATCCGGTGTGTGTGTGGGAAGTTGGTTCTCAGGAGCTACTGAGGGGCTACACTTTCCTGAAGGCCTCATCGGCACAGTCAGGGATTATGGGACTTTACATAGGAGATTATGGTGGCTTGTTCCTGGACGATAAGCTAAAACAGGGATCTCCAACCCTTTAAGATTTGTGGACTTCAACTCTCAGAATTGTGGGAGTTGAAGTCCACAAGTCTTAAAGTTGCCAAGGTTGGAGACCCCTGAGCTAAGAGACACTAGGTCCTTCTTCTCCTTAGGATGCGCCATGACCTTCTGCCGTGCTCCAGCATAAAAGCTGGGTTTGAAATGACCCCGTCTGCAACATTCACACACATGCACACACTAATGGGAGTAACAAGGTGGCTCACACAGCAACCACCGGATGATGGTTCCACAGTGCATGCCTGAGTTGCTCAGACACAAATAGCTTCAAAGAGACCAAAAAAACTGAGCAATTGTCAACTGTTGTGTTCTCCAGTGGCGTTTCTCAACCGTGGCGCCTTGAAAATGGGTGGACTTCAACTCCCAGAATTCCCCAGCCAGCATGTTTTAAAGTTGGGTGGACTTTTAACTCCCAGAATTCTCTACTCGGCATGAATTAAGATCTGTGTTGCTTACGGGCTGGGGAATTCTGGGAGTTGAAGTCCACCCATTTAAAAGCAGGCCGGATGGGGAATTCTGGGAGTTGAGAAACCGCCTACCAAAGAACAGGCCCTGCGATCCTTCTCCATGTTTGCCAAGCTTCTTAAAAGAAAACACTAATCGTCTTCTCTAATGTGAGGTTAGACGAAGCCACGATGCCCTGGAACTGCCAGAAAATGGTACCAGGGGAAAAAGGGAGTTTTAAGAAGCCTACTGTAAGCATTGCAGTTGGAAGAAGACAATGAAAGCTAAGCAATTTTGCTTTGGGGGTGAGGGAAGAAACAACCACAGGGAAATTAGCTGAAATAATGTGAATTTTTGTCAGATTTTCAGTAAGGGAAAGGTTGACAGGACCAGTTCAAAGAACAGTGGTGGGCTGAGATTATAGTACCGTTCCCTCTTCCAGAAGACAGAATAAATCCCTGCATATAGATGAGAAATCTAGCTTGTTAGGAGGAAGGCTAGTTATTGACCTCTCCCTGGTAAGATTAAAGATTTTATTTTGCATAAAGAAGTCACTTGTTCAACTAAATCCTTCTTTCCCAATATTTTAATAGCATAGTCCTACAACAGATCTCCCAAATTAGTGGCAAAACTCACCTTTGCTGCTCTTTTAAAATCTCACTGTTATCACTACGAGTTGGTTCAGCAGCTTCGTTTATGAAGAAGTGGATGATTTATCCTAACCTCTGATCAACCTTATTTAATCATCTGATTGGGGCAGATGAGGAATAAGGAGGGGGGGTGGGGTGGTCTGATTTAGGGCTTGGCTTAATAAATGTAGATTTAGGAAGGATTTTCGAATTCTCAAGAGAGCTCACCTGAAAATGGGAACATTGCCATAGCTCCCTCATTATCCTGGCTCTCTAAATCCATTTCCATTCCAGAAGCTGGAAATGGCTGCCAGTTTAATTCCTTCTTTCGTTTTATTATTACATTTATGCAGCCACCCACCTCACTGCTCTGCTCTGACTCTGGCTGACCTACAAGAACAGAAAAAAAGGGGAATTTCTATCAAGAGATGGTTCAAAACCCACAAGATGCCTAAAGTGGGTTTGAAGTATAAACATTCCTTCCGGGGGACAAATCCTTCCGTTGGCTGATCAAAAGCACAGCCAAGTTGGGTGGCAGAATGGACACCGACGGTCATCATTCAGACATGTTAACTTTGCTTTTTGAAAGAAAAGGAACGGAAAGGACACGCACCCAAGCATGCACACGGCTATCCCAAAAGCACTGAAAATGAACTCTGTTACCTTTTTATTATTATTTTTAAAGTGCAAATTAACCAAAAAAAAAAAAATCATGACTGGCGCTCCCTCCAATCAAGGAAGAGAGAACGAGATTTGGGAGGACTCTTCCCCTTCAAAAGGTCTGCCACAAATGAAGGATAGGTCCTAGGAGTCTTGAAGAAGGGGCCGTACTCCATCTCCATTGTAAGGGGTGGCTGCTTGAGGGGGTCCTAAAAATCAAGACAGCGGCTGTCACTGCCCTTCTGAAGCCCCATCTCTTGCACACATGTGATACAAGTTTTAAAAAAAGGGGGGGTAGAATTTGGATCACAGTCACCGACACCATCTTGGATTTTTTTGATCTCTCTCCTTCAGGAACATCCCTGCCTAAAGTCCTCCTTTGAGTACGCATTTCCCATCAGCCATCACTGATACACTGTTGGCTCAAACACTCAACCAGGCTCCATTGTTTCTTGGATTTAAAGTTTGGATTGGATTGGATTGAGTTGCACTGGGTTGGGTTGGGTTGAATTGGGTTGGGTTGGGTGGAGTTGCATTAGGGTGAGTTCCATTGGGTTGGGTTGAATTGCATTGAGTTGGGTAGAGTTGCACTGAATTGGGTTGGGTTGAGTTGCATTGGGTTGGGTTGAGTTGCATTGGACTGACTTGTGTAGGGCTGGGTTGAGTTGGATTGAATTGGGGAACAGATTCCTGCTTTGACTTTCCCGGTCTCAACAATGATCAGATCAATACACTAAAAAGTCAGGAGCTAGCTTCTTGTGAAATGAAGGTTGTAAGTTGAGGAGACAGTGTAACCACATTTGCAAAATATTTTCACAACCAGGGCAGACTTCTTACCCAAGTACCCTCTAGTACAGTGTTTCCCAAACTTGGCTATTTTAAGATGCATGGACTTCAACTCCCAGAATTCCCCAGCCAGTATGCCTGGTTGAGGAATTCTGGGAGTTGAAGTGCAGACATCTTCAAAGGGTCAAGTTTGGGAAACACTGCTCTAGTACATGGAGAAACACTTGGCTCCTAGAACATCCCAATCCATCCAAAGTGGAGATGGATAGACATAATTAGCCCACTCCCTGCCCCTAGCAACAGCCTGGAGCTGTCTCAGATTCCAGATCTCCAGCCATTTCAAGTGCTGACAGGCTGCTGGAGCTCCTCTGAAACCTCTCTGAAAGCCAAAAAGGTTGGAACAATTCCACAAGGTCAAAAAAAAGAGAGGAAACTTTATTCTCAAGGCGACGGAAAGGGACTGCTAATGAATACATCAAGCGAGAAAATGAACAGCAGGGAAAAGTTTGGGGGAATTTTCTGCAGCTTGTGCCTGCCGTCTGCGTGTGCCTCTTCTCCTCGCGGAAATGGAATAAAACTTCAGAAAAAGGAGGTAGAAATTTCATGTTGTCAGACAACACTACAAGTTAATCATTAGCAATCGGAAGAGAGCTTCCCCAAAAGTCATTTTTCTCCCCAACCCCAACTTACTTCAGGTGTCTCTAAGAGCAAATTGGTCAAAGGAACGAACAGACTACAGTTATTTCCAAAACTTTAAATGCATCTAGTCCTAGTTTGCTGAGGTCAAGCCAGTTTGAAGGCTAAAGGCAAAATAAAACAATTTAACCGATGGGTGTTCCCCCACCCTCTGGGCATGGAGCAAGAGAATGGGAAACCAAAGCAAATGCCATCTGATAAATGCTCATTTTAATTAGAGTATTCTCTTTCTCCCCCTATTTTGTTTTTCTTTAGTTGTGCTTTCAGGTCACAGGAGGAAAATAAAATAAAAAATAAAATAAAAATAAAAATTATATCTAGCTCTTCTGCTCAGTAAAAACCTTATTTTCTTTTCTTTCTTTCTTTCTTTTTTTTTTTGCCAGCCTTGTGGTTGCAACCTCCTCGGACTAACCTTTGCAAAACCCGTTTTGCTCATTGCAAGACACAGTACTTTTTGTAATCGGACTCAAAATCTTCATCCATGCTACTGGTATCCGCCATATTCTTGCCCTCAATCTTTGGCAAAAATTGTGCATAGTCCACTCCTTGCTGTTCGTAGAAAAGGATGTAGGCAGAATCTGTGTCAATTTCGTCGGGATGCAATTCCTGAATGATAGAGGAGGAAGAGGAGGAGAAGAGGGGCTTATTAGGGAACAGTCCTCGAAATGATACAATATTACTTCAAAAATTTAAAATTTAGAAAATGCTGAAAACTGCTGAAAGCGTCCTAATATTACTGGAGATTGTTTGGGATCAGAGAGGCTGGTATAGCAGCTTATTTTAAGGACCCTGCAGGAAATAGCAACTTTAGTCTAGCAGCTAAGGCACCAGGCTAGAAACTGGCATACCATGAGTTCTACTCCAGCCTTAGATGGGCTGGGTGACTGAGGGCCAATCACCAGGAGATGGTGAGTTCTAGTCCAGCCTTAGCTATATAAGTCAGCTGGGTGACTTTGGGCCAATCACCAGGAGATGGTGAGTTCTAGTCCCGCCTTAGCCATATAAGTTGGCTGGGTGACTTTAGGCCAAACATCAGGAGATGGTGAGTTCTAGTCCCACCTTAGATAAAAAAGCTGGCTGGGTGACTTTGAGTCAGTCCCTCTCTCTCAGCCAAACTCACCTAACAGGGTTGCCGTTGTGGGGAAAATAGGAGGGAGAAGGTGTGTTGGACAGGTGTTCACCGCTTTGAGTTATTTGTAAAGAAATAATAAAGGTTGGGATATAGACAAACAAACAAACAAATCCTGGTGGAAACCTTGGAAAATGACAGGATGCAGTAAAAGACACGGATACATCCCCTGGAAGAATGCCCAGACCCAGCTAAGAGATCTGGAATATCCTATAAGAACAACAAATATCCTGTGGCTTATTACCTTAAGTACAGGACAATCTAGATGAGAGCTGGGGAATGATGGCCCCTTTATGACATGCGGACTTCAACTCCCAGAATTCCCATGCTGGCTCGGAATTCTGGGGCTTGAGGTCCACAAGTCATAAAAGAGCCATCTTTCCCCACCCCTGGTCTAGACCAACTGGTCTCAAATCCACAAGGGGCCACCACCAACTTTCAACATGGAGCAACGCAAGTGGAAGAGAACCTCATCCAACTCAAGGTCTCCTGAGACGGACGACTGATGGGCACCCAGAAACAGGCTTCTGTTGCACAGGTGGGCCAAAAGGATCGTATTTTTCAGAGTATAAGATGCATTTTTCCCCCCCCTAAAAGAGGGTGAAAATTTGCATCTTATACACTGAATGTAGCCCTGCCCACCCACCGGCCTCTGCTTCCCAGCAATTTGCCTCCTTGCAGCAAACAGCCCGTTTCAGTTTCAGCTTCAGTGCAGCCTGATTAGCACAAGCAGCTGATAGTTGGTTGGATCGGCCTCCCAACTATCAGCTGTTTCAGCCTGCAGGGATTGCCATTGATAATTGCCGCCTCCACGCGCCCCATTGGCCTCCACTGTTTTCTGCAAGGAGGCAAATCGCTGGGAGACAGATTTTTTTTTCTTCTGCTAATCAGACTGTGCTGAAAATGGAAACGAAATTGAAACAGGCTATTTGCTGTTTGCTACAAGAAGGCAAATTGCTGGGAGGCAGAAGCAGATTTTTTCCCCCTTGTGCTAATCAGGCTGTGCTGAAACTGAAACTGAAACTGAAACAGGCTGTTTGCTGCAAGGAGGCAAATTGCTGGGAGGCAGAGGCAGATTGTTTTTTTCTTGTTTTCCTCCCCCAAAAAGTTAGGTGCATCTTCTTTTTTTTTTATTTTATTTGATTTATATGCCACCCTTCTCCGGAGACTCAGGGCGGCTTACAATGCGTTAAGCAATAGCCTTCATACTTTTGTCTATTTTATACAAAGTCAGCTTATTGCCCCCACAATCTGGGTCCTCAATTTACCTACCTTGGAAAGGATGGAAGGCTGAGTCAACCTTGAGCCTTGGCGAGATTCGAACCTGCAGTAATTGCAGGCATCTGGTCTTAATAACCAGCTTAATAACAGGGTGCCTTAGACCACTGTACTACCAAGGCTCTTTGTCTTATAGCCCGGAGCATCTTATACTCTGAAAAATATGGTATATCATGATAGCATCCAATGTCCTGAAATCATGGTGGTTCATTTTACCTCACTGAGGTTCCTATGTAACGGAAGGTGTTCTCAGAAGGCAAAGTGGCTTACCTTACAGCTGCTGTCGTTGTAACAGTACCATTTGTCATTGGGGTTTTTGGCATAGGTGACGTAATGACCTCCTCCCATAATTCCTGAATGGCACTGGAAGAGAAGAGAGCCAAGACACCAAGGTTATCCAGTGATTCATGTCCTCCATCCTATCCTTTCTGCCAGAGGAAAGGAGAATTAATCGTGGTGCGATGGAGGTACCATTTTAAAAGGTGGTGTCTTCTCAAAGGTGCTTTTTCCAAAAGGCAGCTGGACTGTCTCGGGTGTTGTTGTTTTTTCTTCTTTGAAAACATTTCGCTTCTCATCCAAAAAGCTGCTTCAGGTCTTAGATGAGGAAAAAAACAAGGAAAAAAACAAACCCCAAAAAAGACCAGTTGCTTTTTGGAAAGTGCCTTTGGGACAAACGTGACCTGGGTTGATTGAGAATCGCCATAGACATTGTGTCTTCTCATTTTTAGGCATGTCAAAGGCTCCTCAAGACCCAGCCGCCTTCTATAAACACTCTCACCAGTAGGCAATGATGAGCAAGAAGGCTCAGGGAGATGGTCTTAGTGGACAGTCAATGAAATATGAGCCAGCAGTGTGCAGCTGCAGCCGAAAAGGCCAATGCAATCTTAAACTGCATTAACAGAGGGATTGAATCAAGATCAAGTGAGGTACTAATGCCATTCTATAAAGCCTTAGTAAGGCCACACCTAGAATACTGCATCCACTTTTGGTTGCCACGATGTAAAAAAGATGTTGAGACTCTGGAAAAAGTGCAGAGAAGAGCAACAAAGAGGATGAGGGGACTGGAGGCTAAAACATACGAAGAACGGTTGCAGGAACTGGGCCTGGCTAGTCTAGTGAAGAGAAGGACCAGGGGAGACATGAGAGCAGTCTTCCAATATTTGAGGGGCTGCCACAGAGAGGAGGGGGGGGGGTCAAGCTGTTTTCCAAGGCACCCAAAGGCCAGACAAGGAATAATGGATGGAAACTGAACAAGGAGAGATTCAACTTGGAAATAAGGAGAAATTTTCTGACAGTGAGAAACAATCAACCCATGGAACAGAAGTTGCCTTCGGAAGTTGTGGGAGCTTCATCAATGGAAGCTTTCGAGAAAAGGCTGGACTGCCATCTGTCAGAAATGGTGTAGGGTAGTGATGGCTAACCTTTTTGCCATCGTGTTCCAGGAAGGGGGGAGTGGGGGAGGTTCGTGTGCGCATGTGCCCACACCCATAATTGCCCTGCGCATGCGTGCGCAACCCATTCCTGGCACGCGATGGCCCGATAGGCCCATTTTTCTTTGTCACCTGGCTCCAGATCCTCTCTATGCATCTGGGGAGGGCGAAAACAGCCTTCCCCACCCCCTACAGGCCTTCCAGAGGCAGGAAACAGCCTGTTTCCCTACTTCTGGTGGGCCTAAAAGGCCTGAAAATCAGGTAGCCAGCGCGCACATGCATGCCGGAGCTGAGCTGGCGTGCCCACTGATATGGCTACACGTGCCATCTGTGGCACCCGTGTCATAGGTTCGCCATCATGGGTATAGGGTCTCCTGCTTGGACAGCGGGGGGTTGGACTAGATGACCTACAAGGTCCCTTCCAACTCTGTTAATCTGTAATTCTGTCTTCTAGCAGCTGAGTGATGCTGGAGAAGACTTTGTGAGGGAAGCGAAAATCCAAGATGGCGATGGTATGGATTTTTTTTTTCTCTTCAAGGGAATACAGGTAGTTCTTGACTTACAATCATTCATTTAGTGACCAACCAAAGTTACAAAGGCAGTGAAAAAAAGTGGGTTATAATCAGACTTACAGCCATGGCAGCACCCCCATGGTCACATGATCAACACTGGGGCGCTTGGCAACTGGTTTGTATTTATGACAATTATCCTTTCATGTGACCGACAAGCAACGTCAACGAGGGAAGCCGGATTCACTTTAACAACCGCATGATCCACTTAACAACTGCAGTGATTCGTAGAACGTAGACTGTGGCAAAAAGGTCATAAAATGAAGCGCAAGCCACTCAACCATCGTCTTGCTTCGCAATGGAAATGCTGGGCTCAATTGCGGTCATAAATTGAGGACTTTCTGTAATCTGAGGTTTGTAAAGAAAGCGAAGGCAAGGCTTCGTTTTCAGAAACAGAAGCAACCAGGCCTACCGTACAATGTTTAATGTGTCATGAATGTTTTTTCAACCTGGGAGACTTTAAGATATAAGAATTTCAACTTTTAAAGTGGATATCCACAAGGTTAAGGAACACTGCGCTGTTAAACCGTACAGGAAGGACAGATTGACAAATTGCAGGGCAATGGACGGAAAACCCGTTCCTTGTATCCCAACCGGCTTGTACAGACGCAGCTAGTCCTTGATTTACAACAGTTCGTTTTAGCGACTGTTCAAAGTTAAAGCGGCGCTGTAAAAAAAAAATGACTTGTGACCGTTTTTCACATTTACGACCTCGGCAGCTTCCTTGTGATCAAAACTCAAGATGCTTTGGCAAATGGCTCATATTTACGACGGTTGCGGTGTGCCGGGGGTCATGGGATCCCCTTTTGCGACCTTCAGACAAGCAAAGTCTATGGGGGTGGGGGGAAGCCAGATTCACTTAACAACGGCGTTACTAACTTAACAACTGTGGTGATTCACTGAACATCTGTGGCAAGAGGGGTTGTAAAATAGGGCAAAAACTCACTTAACAACTGTCTTTTGTTCAGCAACAGAAATTTGGGGCTCAAATTTTGGGCTCCATTGTGGCCGTTGTCAACCCTGGAGTGAACCTTCAGAGTTGCCAGTCGTAAGTCGAGGACTACCTGTAATTCTGATGATTAAGCCCAGGGGTGGGATTCAAAATTTTAGCAACCGGTTCTCTGCCTAGTTGCTGGGTGGGCATGGCCATGGTGGGCGTGGCATACTCAGCCTCCTGCATTACGGGGAGGGAGGCTTTTCGCCCTCCCCAGGCTCCGGAGGCTTTTCTTGAGCCTCCGGGAGGGCGAAAACGACCTCCCTCGGGCTCCAGAGGCCGGAAACGGTCTCATTTCCAGACTTCCGCAACTTCCAGGAGGCCCGTTTTTTGCCCTCCCAGAGCCTCTGCGCAGGCTCTTCACTTACCTGACATCCAAAATGGGCTGCGTGGAGACTTCTGGGAGGAGCGGAGTGGGCGGGGCCAGCCAGTCCTTGCAACTACCAGTTTGGCGAAACAGATGTAAAATTAGCATTTGGTTCACCCGAACCGGTCTGAACCGGCTGAATCCCACCCCTGATTAAGCCTGGATAGACACTGTTGAACCCCCTGCTCTTCCCTTTGGGATGGTTTCAGTGCACCCCTCTGGACTTTTCTTGCAATGGCTCAGCCCAAATCTGAGCTGGGAAGAAACTCATCGAGCCTTCAACCGGATGGCAATTGGACACCTACCGAAATTGCATATAAGTTATAAATGGGATTAATACAGATTTCTCCTCTTTGGTCATCCACCAATTCCTCTTCCCGGCGGGCTTCTAGGTGACCGTTGAGACTGTGGTTGCTGGAGGAGCTCAGCTTGCAAAGGTATCCATTGGTTAGCTGCCCCTCATTGTCCTGAGCAGCCACCGGTTCTCCTGAACCGTCCCCCAAATTCTGCTGCTCCCTGCCTGGGGAGTCCAACGTGGCCTTTGGATCTGGCTGGGTACCGTTCTCTCGACTTGTGTCCAGGTTCTCTTTGCTGCTCGACAGTTTGTTTTTACAGAGCTGGGGGAGACGAAGGCGCCCCTTACTTCTGCCCATAGTCCTGGGGCTACTGGTGGGGCTAAGGTTTTTACTGGCCGAAGAGCCGGATGTGCACTTCCTCGCGGAGGATGGCGATGCTGGAAAGAAAGAGACGTGTGAGTGCTTTGCAGATGGATTAGTGTTTTTTCAACTGTGGCTATTTTTGGAACTGCTCAAAATTTCCACTACCGGTTCTCCAAACTGCTCAAAATTTCCACTACCGGTTCTCCAAACTGCTTAAAATTTCCGCTACCGGTTCTCCAAACTGCTCAAAATTTCCACTACCGGTTCTCCAAACTGCTCAAAATTTCCACTACCGGTTCTCCAAACTGCTTAAAATTTCCGCTACCGGTTCTCCAAACTGCTCAAAATTTCCACTACCGGTTCTCCAAACTGCTTAAAATTTCCACTACCGGTTCTCCAAACTGCTCAAAATTTCCACTACCGGTTCTCCAAACTGCTTAAAATTTCCACTACCGGTTCTCCAAACTGCTCAAAATTTCCACTACCGGTTCTCCAAACTGCTCAAAATTTCCACTACCGGTTCTCCAAACTGCTCAAAATTTCCACTACTGGTTCTCCAAACTGCTTAAAATTTCCACTACGGTTCTCCCAAACTGCTCAAAATTTCCACTACCGGTTCTCCAAACTGCTCAAAATTTCCACTACCGGTTCTCCAAACTGCTTAAAATTTCCGCTACCGGTTCTCCAAACTGCTCAAAATTTCCACTACCGGTTCTCCAAACTGCTCAAAATTTCCACTACCGGTTCTCCAAACTGCTTAAAATTTCCGCTACCGGTTCTCCAAACTGCTCAAAATTTCCGCTACTGGTTTTCCAAACTGCTCAAAATTTCCGATACCGGTTCTCCAAACTGCTTAAAATTTCCACTACCGGTTCTCCAAACTGCTCAAAATTTCTGCTACCGATTCTCCAGAACCTGTCAGAATCTGCTGAATTTCACCCCTGGCTGATGTGAATGGATTGATGGAGTGAGGGAGAGACAGGAATCGGCTTGCTGCATGCTCCCCCCTCCTTCCAGTCTCTTTGGGGTTGCTTCAATGGGACGTTTGGAGACCGTGTGGCTCCTTTCAATTTAGGGAAGTGCACCTGCTTTCACAAAGGAATGTTAGTTTCCTCTGAAAGATGTTCTTTTAGAGTGGGTGGGCCAGACAACCAAAGCCATAACTCATGCAGAGACATACTCACAGCCTCCTTTTACAGTCCTGCTATAAGTTGGCTTCAAGAGTTGGGATGATTTCGAACATTCTGTTGGAATTAGGATGTGATGTTACCCTAATATGGGTGATGGAGTTAACAATCCAGTGGAAAGACATCAAAGAAGATATTATATGGATTACAAGTTAAAGTCATTGATTTTATTTATATAAGGGAATATTTTTTCTTTAGAAGGGTGGGCAGAATAATAAAGATATCAAGAATTGTTATATATGGAAATTTTGTAGGGAAGTGGGTGGAGACAGGCTAGCTTACTGATTGTTTAGTTTAAAAAAAAAGGGAAGTTTCAGAGAAATATTTATGGGAGTGGAGGAGATGGACAGACTATGAGTTGAATGAATGTTGAATTAGGATTTATTATATAGATTTATAGTGGAAGGCTGCTTTGAAATGTTATATTAATATACACAAAAGATTAAACGTTAAATTAGGATTTATTATATAATTTTAAAGTGGAAGGTGGTTTTGAAATGTTATATTAATATATGGGGAGGAGAAAAAGGGCAGATTATTGCTAAATTGGGAGTTATAATAATAATACTATGCTAAACCAGAAGCTATTACATAATGTTATAGTAGAATGTTATTTTGAAATGTATAGTATAAGGGGGATATAATAATATTATTAGAAAGAAAGGGTCAATATTTGGGGGATGGAGTAAGGGGATGGTAAAGTATTATATAATCTGTTATGAATTTGGATTTTACTTTGAAGAAGTCACAGGGGGAGGGGTGGAGAGGGGGGGTTAGGGAGGAGGGGGGGAGAAAAAAGGGGGAAAAATCTGTATTTGAAAAACTTTTTCAATAAAAAGAGTTGGGACACAGATAACCTCGCAATACAACAATTCATTTAGCAACCCTTTGAAGCTACAATGGCTCTGAAAAAAGTGATTCATAGTTCTCGTAGTTACGCCTGTCACAGCATTCCCCCAGTCATGTGATCAAAATTCTGGCACTTGTATTTACGACAATTGGGAGTGATGCAGTGGCCTAGAGGTGGCGCTCTTGCCTCACAATCAGGGGGCTGTGAGTTTGATCCTAGGTAGAGGCAGATATTTCTCTCTCTGGGCATGATGAGAATATATCTGCTGAACAAAACTCCGCATTAGCAACAGGAAGGGCATCCGGCCAGTAAACACTCAGCTCAATTCAGTTGCGCAGACTCCACCCCGCAAGGAATTATGGGGTCGTTAAAAGGTGATGATGTATTTTCGACAGTAAAATTGGGTGTGACTCACAATGACCGCCTTGCTTAACCATGGAAATGGTTGTAAGTTGAGGACTTCTTGCGAATCCCTTTCCAATGGGGACCAAGTAACTCTTGTTTTGACGCCTTCCGGGACAAGACCCCAGATTCCTACCTCTAATAGTATTTAAGATGCCCGAAGTGTTGAGAGAGGAAGGGCTCCGGGTGAGGACGTCGCCCTCTCCGGCCACAGTGCCGCTCCGCTGCTCCGTCCTCCGACACTCCTCCGGCAGAATCAGGGGCTCCGCGGGATCGTCAGCCTGCGGCGTCAGCAGCTTTGGCGGCCAGCAGCTCAGGTCTCGTGGCATGAGGAAGGCACTTGGGTCAAAGCTCTCACGAGGAAACTTGACGATTTTTTGGGATTTTATCCAGCGGCCGTTGACAAATTGGAAGCGCTTTAAGTGGATGATCTGGAGTGAGACAAGCAAGAGAGGAGTTGGGGGTGGGCTTTCTTGTTTGAAGGAAGGAAGGAATGAAAGAAAGAAAGGAAAGAAGGAAGGAAGGAAGCGGGAGGGGAAGGGAAGGAAAGAATAGGGGAAGGGAAGGAGGGGAAGAGGGGAGGGAAAGGAAAGAATAGGGGAAGGGAAGGAGGGGAGGAGGGAAGGGGAAGAGGGGAGGCGAAGGGAAGGAGGGGAGGGGAAGGGAAGGAAAGGGGAGGGGAAGGAAAGAATAAGGAAAGGGAAGGAGGAGAGGAGGGAAGGGAAGGGGGAGGGGAGGGGAAGGAAAGGGGAGGGGAAGGAGTGGAAGGGGAGGGGAGGGGAAGGAGGGGAGGGGAAGGAAAGGGGAGGGGAAGGAGTGGAAGGGGAGGGGAGGGGAAGGAGGGGAGGGGAAGGAAAGGAAAGGGGAGCAAAAGAAAAGAATAGGGGAAGGGAAGGAGGGGAGGAGGGAAGGGGAAGAGGGGAGGGGAAGGGGAGGGGAGGGGAAGGAGGGGAGGGGAAGGGAAGGGAGGGGAAGGGAAGGGAAGGAAAGGGGAAGGGAAGGAAAATGAATGGTGGAAGGGGAGGGGAAGGGAAGGGAAAGGAAGGAAAAGGAACTCCTTGACAGCAACTGTGCTTGGCCTGGCTGAAGTTAGAAAAAGAGATGATCTGCCGACCTACCAGGATCGGGGGCAGCCTCCACAGGTCCAGCTTCTTGGTGGCCAGGCAGTGGGTCCTGCACTTGGAACAATAGTACATTTCATCTTCCCCCAGCTCCTCCTCGCTGGTGAAGGCCCGCAAGCAGCTGTCCAGGTTGATGGGCTCGGCCTGAGCGCGCTGGCTCTGCTCCACGCTTCTGTGCTCCTCTGCTATCTGGAGACGGGAAGGAAAGCGAGGGGTCACGGAACTTTCTGGAGGGGCTTCCCTCTGTGGGAAAAGCAAACCCCCCTCCCTCACACCTTTCTTCTAATTCACGGGCAGAATCCCTCAGTCAAGAAAGATTTTCTCCAGCATTAATACAGCACTTCCAACAGGGGTCCTTTGTGAGGAAAACCTTATTTCAGAGATCCCTAACTTGGCCACTTTATGGCTTTATGGCTTCATTTCCATGCTGGCTGAGGAATTCTGGGAGTTGAAGTCCACAAGTCATAAAGTGGCCGAAGTGGGAGAGAGAATCTTTCAGGGTGTACGTAGCAGGTTGTAGCAAGATTCCGTCCATTAGTAGAGGTAAGCAAATAAAGGATTAGACGCAATTGGATTTCACTGTGTGGTCTCTGGGTTTGAGCCTGACAAAGCAAATTTATACAGGTAGGTCCTTGACTTACAACCAGTGGTGGGATTCAAATAATTTAACAACTGGTTCTCTACCCTAATGACCGGCTGGGTGGGCGTGGCCATGGTGGGCGTGGCCAAGGGTGTGTGACAGGCAGCACTCGGCCTCCTGCAGCCTCCTGGGAGCAAAAACGGGCCACGGGGAGCCACGTCGCATCCACTCATGCCCCGTTTTGGGCCTAGTAGGCCTCCCTGCAGCCTCCTGGGAGCAAAAACGGGCTGCGGGGTGTGTGTGTGCACCACCGTACCCTCCTGCGCCCTGTTTTGGGCCTAGTAGGCCTCCTTACACTTACCTGGGAGCCAAAATGGGGCACGTGGGGATTCCTGGAAGGGGCGGGGAGAGGCAGAGCCAGCCAGCAATTTAACAACCGGTTCACCTGAACCGGCCCAAACCAGTTGAATCCCATCATTGCTTACCACCATTCATTTAGTGACTGGACTGAAAAAAACCAGTGACTTATGACTGCTTTTCATACTTACGACCGTCGCAGCATTCCTGTGGTCACGTGATCAAAATTCAGATGCTTGGCAATTGGAATGTACAGGTAATCCTCGATTTATGACCCCAATTGAGCCCAAAAATTTGTTATGTTGCTCAGTGAGAAATTTGGTGTGTTTGGGCCCATTTTATGACTTTTCTTGTCCTATTTGTTAAGTGAATCCCTGCAGCTGTTAAGTTAGTAACACGGTTGTTAAGTAAATCTGGTTTCCCCGTTGACTTTGCTTGTCAGGAGGTCGCAAAAGGGGATCACGTGACCCTGGGACACTTAAACTGCAATAAATATGAGTCAGTTGTCAAGCATGTAAATCACATGACCATGGGGATGCGTAAGTGTGAAAAATGATTATAAGTCACTTTTTTCAATGCCGTCATAACTTTGAATGGTCACTAAATGAACTGTTGTAAGTCAAGAACTACCCGTATTTATGAATGTTGCAGCGTCCCGGGGTCGTGTGATCTCCTTTTGCGACCTTCTGACAAACAAAGTCCATAAGGGGGCCCGATTCACTTAACAAACCATGTTACTAACTTAACAGCTGTGAACTCTGTCAAGGTAGGTCGTAAAGCGGGGCAAAATTCCCTTAACAATTCTCTTGCTTAGCAAGGGAAATTCTGGGCTCAGTTGTGGTTGTAAATCGAGAACAATCTGTATGCAGTCATATGAAGGAACAAGCCTGGGATTTGCCCCTTAGGTTTTGATTTCTTTACCCGTTCTTGTGAGGTCTGGTAGCGGAGGTGAAGGGCGGTGGGATCCCAGTCCACAGCGAGGTTTGCGTTCCCCATCAGCGCTCTTTCTTCTGTGCAATCGATTTTACACCCGTAGCAAAACCTAAATGGGAGGCAGAGAGGGCAAGAGACGGTGAACTCTAGGCAAGAGAGGAACTGGATCGCTTCAATGGGATTGGACCCTCTCACTTACACCAGCAGAAGGTGCAAACTCTGGACCCCATCAGGCAACGAATCCCGGCTCGTGGGGTCCTAGAGAAGAGCCTTTTCTGCAGTGGCTCCCACCCTCTGGAACATTATGGCCCCTTGAGGTCAGATCTGCCCCCCCACTTGGCCTTCCAGAAGGGCCTGGACACTTAGTCCATTCAATACTGGAGGTGGTTAGTGGATTAAAAGAGGATTCCACCTCCACCCTCTTATATATTGATTCTTTCCTTAGCTATTTTTGTTTGTTTGTTAATTTTAATGTTAACAGATAGTGTTTTAATGTTTTATATTTTATATTGTTGGGTTTTTTTTCATGTGGGTAAGCTACCCGGAGTCATTTGAAATACAGATGGGTGGCATGTAAATTTAACACATGGATGGATGGATGAATAGATAGAAGATAGATAGAGATAAACGAGACAGTACAAAGAAAGAAAGAAAGAAAGAAAGAAAGAAAGAAAGAGAGAGAGAGAGAGAGAGAGAGAGAGAGAGGGAGGGAGGGAGGGAGGGAAGGGAGAGGGAGATGATCGACTGATAAAGAGGGACAGAGATGATGATAGAGATACTATTTATTTACTCATTTATTATTAAAATGGTATGCTGTCCATCTCACTGATACAATGACTCTGAGTGGCGATAGATAGATAGATAGATAGATAGATAGATAGATAGATAGATAGATAGATAGATAGATAGATAGATAGAAAAGATGAGGGTGTGGCTAACTGATGAAGACACATAAGTCAGAAATAGATCTATTTTAGTCTCCCTTAAGTCTTACAACAGACAGCAAAATGCTGGTTAATGTCTGATAAAGCCTAGAAAATAGTGAATTGGGATTTCACTGAACTATGGCTATATAAACATCTTGATTTACGTAGGAAAAACCCTGGCTAAAACAATAATAATAGATAGATAGATAGATAGATAGATAGATAGATAGATAGATAGATAGACAGACAGACAGACACAGATATAGATAAATAGATGACAGATAAATAGATAGAGATAGATAGATGACAGATATATAGATAGATAGATAGATAGATAGATAGATAGATAGATAGATACAGACAGAGATAGATAGATAGATGACAGATAGATATAGATAGATAGACAGACAAACAGAGATAGATAGATAGATAGATGACAGATAGATATAGATGATTGATAAATGATAGATAGATGATAGATGATAGACAGACAGATGTGAATGGATAGAGAGAGAGAGAGAGAGAGAGAGAGAGATACAGACAGACAGGACTGAAAGACGAAGGGTAAGAGAGGGAGAAAAGGACAAACCCAGCAGAGCTCACCTGTACCAAGGGCACCAGGCACAGGAGTTGCCATCTTTCTGAACCACCCGAAGGGTGAAAGGGTATTGATATCCCAAGCTGTCATCGCTAAGGAAAACGCACAGACACACACATTGTTATTGCTAATGTGTAAAGACTCTTCGGATTTTATTTCTGTTGTTGCTCACTGATCTTTTAAGCGGGTGTGGGGAAACTGGCAAGCCTTGGACTCGGTTCAAGAATCCTCAATGCGGGCCTTTTGACAAGAGGCTCAGCTGATCGTTTTTGATTTAGCCCTGTTTGCTTTGGGGTGAAATCCGCAACAGATGATCCCCCATAGCCCTAACACACCTGTCCAATGCCACAATAATAATCAAAGAGTGTTTAATCCGGGATGGGGAACCATGGCCCTTTTATGACTTGTGGACTTCAACTCCCAATTTTACGACCTATGGACTTCAACTCTCAGAATTCTGGGAATTGAAGTCCATAAGGCTTATAGTTGCCAAAGTTGGGCACATCTGTAGATGCCAGTCATGCTAACTGGCTGGGGAATTCTGGGAATTGAAGTCCACAGGCTTAGTTGCCAAGGTTGGACACCTCTGCTATAGATGCCAGCTATGGTGGCTGGCTAGGGAATTCTGGGAATTGAAGTTGGGTGAGGGCTTCCTTGTTCCTTCCGTTTAGGGCAGGGACGGCCCAACCTTGGCAACAATAAGCCTGTGGCGGCCTGAGCACTCCGCCAGCGAAAACGGGCTCCCGAGCTCCGTTTCTGCCTGCGACGGCCTCCTGCAACCCTCTGCCAGCAAAAACGGGCTCCCGAACTCAGTTTCTGGCTGCGACGGCCTCCTGCAACCCTCTGCCAGCAAAAACGGGCTCCCGATCTCAGTTTCTGGCTGCGACGGCCTCCTGCAACCCTCTGCCAGCAAAAACGGGCTCCCGATCTCAGTTTCTGGCTGCGACGGCCTCCTGCAACCCTCTGCCAGCAAAAACGGGCTCCCAATCTCAGTTTCTGGCTGCGACGGCCTCCTGCAACCCTCTGCCAGCAAAAACGGGCTCCCAATCTCAGGTTTCTGGCTGCGACGGCCTCCTGCAACCCTCTGCCAGCAAAAACAGGCTCTCAATCTCAGTTTCTGGCTGAAACGGCCTCCTGCAACCCTCTGCCAGCGAAAACGGGACTTGCGAGGGCTACGCACGGCCTTCCTGAGCTCTGTTTTTACTGGCCAAGCACTATGGGCCGGTCCTCCACTGTTTCCAGGGTGGCCCCACGGGCCCATAATCTTGCACTTATGATCCGTCACAGCATCCTTGAGCTCACATGATCCCAATTTGGGCGCTTGGCAACCAGCAGGTATTTACAATGATTGCAGCATCCCAGGGCTATGTGATTCCTATTTGTGACTGCTGGCTTCTGACAAGCAGTCAATGGGGGGGAGCTGGATTCGCTTAACGGCCACATGTTTTGCTTAACAACTGCAGTGATTCACTTAACGTGGAAAAGAAGGTCAGGTGTGATTCACTGAACAGACGACGCCTTGATGAGCAATGGAAATTCCAGTTGTGGATGTCAATTGAGGACTACTTGCAAACCACCAGTTAAATTTTATCCTGGATTACCTGAAGTATTTAACTATATATGATTTACTCTTTTCCCCAGGCGCCTTTCTGAGTCAAAAGGCCTGATTGAGGTATAACAGAGTTATTCTTCTGATTGTCCTGAAGTACTTTTCTCTCTCACCCACTCAAGAGATCTTATCCTACTTTAAATAAAAGATTGAAAATGTCTTAACCAGCCCAAAGTCATCCAGTGAACTTCAAGACTGAGTATTCGGATTTGTCAGCTGAAGGCTAATATAGTGGTACCTCGGTAATAATCTTCATTGGTTCCAGAAGGTACGATGAGTACCAAAAACGATAAGTCTCAAACAATTTTTTCCCATAAAGGATAATGTAGTGAATCATAAGACAGCCAACACTGACAAATTCTAGCTTGTGTGTTGAGTATCAAACAAACGCTGAGTACCGGGACAAAATTTTCACGGCAAAATGTGTTGAGGGTCAAAGTTGGCTAGTGTCAAAGCAGTTGAGTACCGAGGTACCACTGTACTCCAATAAGCCAAATGGGCTCTTCTTGTCATTTATTCAGCTTGGCTCACTTCTCTGAGATGTTCAAAATTACCACACCGCAGCCATATTAGTGCAGTGAGCTCTTGGTGCTCTATGAACTCGGTTGTTGTCTTGCAGACATTTCATTACCCAATTAGGTAACATCATCAGTGCTAAAAGGAGAAATCCCACTCTCTTCTAACCAACACTGACAGGCCAAGTCACTTGTATATAAACAGAAAGGAAACCCTACTCCCTTCCAGCACTGATGATGTTACCTAGATGCAAGAAAACAACCAAGCTCAGACAGCACCGAGGACTCCAGCCCTGAGCTACAAATATTCTCTTCTCTCAGCTCTATTAGCGGCTCAGCCGTTCCTCATTCCAGCACTGGACTCACCAATCCTGAGCATGGTTACTTGCTTCCTGGGGAGGGAGGGGGCTTGCAAGCCGAGACACCTGAATCCAGACAGCGTCATACAAGTCTTTCTTCCTTGTGTGAACTGTGCAGGGAACAATCAGAGGCATCCCAAACAGGCTTGGCCGGTTCTTTTGAGACGAGAGAAAGTACATTTCGGCCCGCATCTGCATTCAATGGGAAAAAGAAAAGAAAAAAACCACATGGATTTTGAAAGTTAGGAACAATTCATAGACTTTGGATTTTTTTTTTTCATGTTTTATTTATTTTATTTATAATACTTTTCATCTCCATTGAACAGGGCGTGAACTGGGTACAATTCTTTAAAAATTCGTAGTTCGCATATTTGTTGTTGTATTCGTTACAAGGACATTAATAATATAACTACTGTATCAATATAGAGCCTTGATAGTACAGTGGTTTAGTGCACCCTGTTATTAACACAGCTGCCTGCAATTTCTGCTGGTTCGAATCTCTCCAAGGCTCAAGGTTGACTCAGCCTTCCATCCTTTCTAAGGTAGGTGAAATGAGGACCCAGTTTGTGGGGGCAATAAGCTGACTTTGTATAAAATATACAAAAGAATGAAGGCTATTGCTTAACGCATTGTAAGCCGCCCTGAGTCTCCGGAGAAGGGAGGCATATAAATCAAATTAAATATATATATAAGGGTGGCATATAAATCAAATTATATATATATATAAGGGCGGCATATAAATCAAATTTTATATATATATAAAATTATATATATTCAGTATCTTCTCTGCCCTTAATGATAAGCGTTAATCTGTCCATTTCTGCACATTCCATTATTTTCTGAATTACCCTCTCATCAGACAGGATCTCCTCACTCTTCCATTGTTGCGCAGATACAATCCCTAGCCGCAGTCAGTACATGTAAAATCAAATATGTGGTCTTTTTATCATATTTTTCTGGTAGGATGCCCAACAAAAATGTCTCTGGTCTCAGTTTGATATGCTTTTTTGTCATTTTTTCAATTCATAGACTTTGCTTTTGTAAAAATCATGGATGGACGGACTCTCAAGAGAAGTCCAAAAGCGTAACAACAAAAGTAAAAGGCTCCAGTGTAATTAACACCTAATCTTTGCCTATTTTTTTTTATACCTTTTATAATTTCAAAATTTTTAATAATATTTTTTTTAAAAAATCACAAAACGCAAAACCTACAAATAGACATAGAATGACTGTGGCAATGAAAACAAAGATTAAAACCAATAGCGATAAGCAGCTTGGGTATAAAATCCCAAAACATCTGGAGCGCTACTTGAATACCGTCAGGCATTGACAAAAAATCTCCAGCGGTCAATTGCAAAAGGCAGCTTTATTGGAACAGCTTGCATCTTGCAACGATTCTTTTAACGCCATCAAACCACAACACTTTTCACAGCAGAAAAAGATGCAATGCAGTGGAGATTTCCAAAACCTCTACCTGAAGGTTTGGGTAAAAGGTCTGGCTTCCAACCTTATGGGCACCCTTTCAGCACTCTGGCAGGTTAGACTGGCAGGTTAGATTGAAGAAATAGTTTCTTGTTACAACAGCATCCGTTCCCACAATACAAGAATACCCTTGGCCCAAACAATTCTTTATTAGATGGGCAGCTAATAAATTTAATAAAGAAAAAAAATCAATCAATCAATCAATCAATCAATCAATCAATCAATCAATAAAGTAAGTAAGTAAGTAAGTAAGTAAGTAAGTAAGTAAGTAAGTTAAGTAAGTAAATCCATCCATCCATCCATCCATCCATCCATGGATCGGTCGTTGGCTATTCCTGCCTTGAGTGCAGTGGCCACCAACCCTTAACAGCTTGGCGGCCGAGCGGGAAGGGAGAGGGGAACCAGCCCACGCACACCCTGACCCACCGCTCGCACCTGCGTGTACACACCAGCCCACTCCTCACACAAGTTGAGCTGTGCGAATTAACACCAGCCTGCCACTCACGCACCTCAAGCTGCACATATGCAGGTTGACCTGCCATTCACGCAAGTTGAGCTGCGTGTGTGTACGCCAGGCCCGCTGCTTGTGTGGCCCGATTCCAAACAAGCCACGGCCCAGTAGTGGGTCACGGCCTTGGGATTGGGGACCCCTGCTTTAGTGACAAGGGTGACCGTCAAACAGAGGAGTCTTTTTGAAGTCCACCCCACAGATCAACCAGCAAATGGTCTCAACATGGTTACAGTTTATGTCTGAACTCCAGATATACTTTCCAAATACCTGGTGGTATCAGACCTGGAAGCCACCTTTTACTTTTGAGCCTTCAGGCCTGCCACAAATTCTACTGTGGGAAAATGGGAGGGGGAATTGTATGGAGTGAAGATGATATGTAGTCAAAATAACATTCTTTCCAGAAAGTCAAGGCCGAGTTGCCCTGCAGCTGTGCTGAGAAGACTGGGGAGGTATCTTCGGTTCCGGACGGTACCTGATTGGTTCGTGTGATGGACATGTGGGTGATGGGCAAGGACTTGAACTTTCTCTTGGGTGAGGAAAACCCGGAAGCTCTCAGATTTGGATTTTCCCAGATGTGCATCTCTAATAAAAATTAGCTTTGAGGAAGTTCAAGCCAATGAATGAATGAATGAATGAATGAATGAATGAATGAATGAATGAATGAATGAATTTATTTATTTATTTATTTATTTATTTATTTATTTATTTATTTATTTATTTATTTATTTATTTATTCATCCATCCATCCATCCATCCATCCATCCATCCATCCATCCATCCATCCATCCAATTTATGTGCCGCCCTTCTCCGTAGACTCAGGGCGGCTTACAATGCATTATAGCAATAGCCTGTATACTTTTTTGTATATACCTGCTTATTAGGGCTTTTGGCCCCCCCTAAGCGGTGTTGTTCTATACAAAGTTGGTTTATTGCCCCCACAATCCGGGTCCTCAATTTACCTACCTCAAAAGGATGGAAGGCTGAGTCAACCTTGAGCCTGGTGAGATTCGAACTTGCACTAATTGCAGGCAGCTGGCAGCTAAGTGCTAGCACTTAACAGCACTTTAGTCTGCTGCACCACCGAGGCTCCTCCTCCTTGATTTCGTTGGGGGTGTTACTTGGAACCCTGACAGGTGGCCCTTTGCAAAGTTTGGCTGTAGCTGCTTCATGTGAAACAGACAAAGCATCTTACAGGTTTGGGCAAGGCTTGTTTTCCACTCACCATCTTCCTGTGGACCGCAATGATGTAGCCTATGAAGGGGCTGTCGGAAGGTGAGGTCACATGACCATTCATCATCACGCCATTCTCCCCCCTGTAGGGCACCACTGTGTTTGGCATTCCGTTTGGGATCAAGGTGGACCGCGGGAGGTCCCCGTTCATCAGGCAGCTGATCACCCCATTGGTCGACTGTCCACGGTAAAAATCTAAAACTCAAGCACAAAGAGGCTGTTGTCAAAATACGTCCTGCTATGAAGCTCTTAGCTTAAGGATCGTTTTCGATCACTAGCTGGGCAAAATCTCTAGCGCCTTCATAAGGAGGGCCGTTTTCTTTAACCAGATTGTAAAACGAGAACGTTTGTTCTCTGGCTGGGGAAGGGGAAGAGGAGGAGGAGGAGAGGAGAAGGAAGAGGAGGAGAGAAAAAGATGGAGAAAAAGGAGGAGGAAGAGGACGAGGAAGAGAGGAGGAGGAGGGGGAAAGGGAAAGGAAGGAAAAGGAGGAGAAAGGAAGAAGAAGGAAGAGGATGAGAGAAGAAGGAAGAGGAGTAGATGGGAAAGGAGAAGGGGAAAAGGAAAGAGAAAGGGAAAGGGAAAGGAAAAAGTTGGTTTTTTATGGCAGGGCCATTGGTTGAGAGAAACACGAAGAGGATATCTTCGCTTAGGAACTTTCATGCCAATTCAGTTCCCTTCCTTCCTGCATTTTACTCAGCATTAAGCAATTCAGTAGGGAGTGAAAGTTAAAGAGCGCTCACTTTCACTCCCAACGCTAAGCAACAGTAACAGCAACGCTGCCAATTTGTCAGACAAAACTCTCAGCTTTTTGGGGGGGTGGGGGGGAACGAGAGGAGGATGACAGAATCAAGGCATTTCCTCCTACCTGTTTGCAAGGGACTTGAAGAAGCCGAAGTGGGAGATCCAGGAATCGGTACTTCGAAGGCGCACAAAGAAGCAGTTGTCGAATGCCGGACTTTTTGGTTGTCTTGCGGAAAGTTCTTTGGAAAACAGGGGGGAGAAACAACAGCAACAACAGAAAGAGATTAAAGCCAAGAGCAATTAATAATTTAGACGACATTTCAGAGGGCTGTAGAGGAAGCCGAGGCATTCGGTGCCCCGACTGACAGTTTCTGAAACCCAGGGGAGAAGGGAAAGCTGTTTTCAAAAGAGCAGAAGCCGCTGACGGGAGAATTGCAAAAGGACAGGGGAGCCCATCTGACACAGCCACATCTGTTGTCTCGACAGGCGAGTGTGTAATGAGCTCCCAGGATAATGTTTCTCTTCGGCACAGCCCGTCAGATCTAAAGACAGGCTGGGCACATCGAGGCAAACATCTCTCTTTAAACTCAGGTTTTATTCTCTGGATCTTTTGTAAACTGCAGGATAGTGAAAGATAGATAGATAGATAGATAGATAGATAGATAGATAGATAGATAGATAGATAGATAGATAGGTTCGATTTATATGCTGCCCTTCTCCGGAGACTCAGGGCGGCTTACAATGCTTTTAAGCAATAGCCTTCATACTTTTGTATATACCTGCTTAGTAGGTATATACAAAAAGTAGGTATATACAAAAAGTAGGTATATACACAAAGCGGTGCTCTTTTTTTATACAAAGTCAGCTTATTGCCCCCACAATCCGGGTCCTCATTTTACCTACCTCGGAAGGATGGAAGGCTGAGTCAACCTTGAGCCTGGTGAGATTTGAACTTGCAGTAATTGCAGGCAGCTGGTGTTACTTAACAGTGCTTTAGTCTGCTGCATCACCAAGGCTCTTAGGGTTGTTAGGGTCTCTATGTTAAGGTACTAAGTTGGAAAGCAGGAGACTGAGAGTTCTAGTTCTGCCTTGGACATGAAAGCTGGCTGCGGGACTTTAGGCCAACCACCAGGAGACAGTGAGTTCTAGTTTTGCTTTAGGATTGAAAGCCAGCTGGGGGACTTTAGGCCAACCACCAGGAGATGGTGAGTTCTAGTCCTGCCTTAGGCATGAAATCTGGCTGGGTGACTCTGAGCCAATCACCAGGAGATGGTGAGTTCTAGCCCTGCCTTAGGCATGAAAGCTGGATGGGTGACTTTGGGCCAGTCACCCTCTTTCTCAGATGCAACCCACCTCACAGGGTTGTTGTTGTGGGAAAAATAGGAGGAGGAAGGTTCCAAGGTTTGTAGGAGACAAATACATTTTCAGTTCCCTGCTCTCTTTATATAGGAGCTGTGTCTCTTCTGTTTCCTTAGGAGTTCATTGATACATACAGTTGACCAAGGAGGATCAATTTTTGCATTCAGTTGCACAAGCGTCATTACCTTTATGTTTGAACTGTGTACTTCCGCAAGCAGAATCTGATCGGGCTTCAGGGCACAAAGCTCACTCAGGTGCTTCTTCAAGTCAGAGTATTTCTCGTCCATATTTAGCCTGAGTCCATATCGGACGGGAGTCGTGCCGTCTAGCTTAGTTACTTGAAGAAGACAAGGAAAAAGGAAAAAGAAGGGGGAGAGACAAAGGGAGAAAGGCCTTTAGAAGCTTTTCACTTTATTTATTTCGTTTTATTTATTTATCGCATTTTGGAACCACCTATCTCCCCTCACAGACTCTGGGCAGCCTGCAGTAAAAAATGAAAACGTAAAAACAGCATATAAAAATAAACAAATAATAATAAATAACAGCATATAACAGTTAAGTAGGGACGTGGTGGCTAAGTGGCTAAGACACTGAGCTTGTCGATCGAAAGGTCGGCAGTTCAGCGGTTCGAATCCCTAGCGCCGCGTAACGGGGTGAGCTCCTGTTACTTGTCCCAGCTTCTGCCAACCTAACAGTTCGAAAGCACGTAAAAAAAAAAAATGCAAGTAGAGAAATAGGGACCACCTTTGGGGGGAAGGTAACAGCGTTCCGTGCGCCTTTGGCGTTGAGTCATGCCGGCCACATGACCACGGAGACATCATCAGACAGCGCTGGCTCTTCAGCTTTGAAACGGAGATGAGCACCGCCCCCTAGAGTTGGGAACGACTAGCACATATGTGCGAGGGGAACCTTTTTACCTTTTTAACAGTTAAAAATTTAAAAAGAGGCAAGATGATTAAAGACCATGTTGAAAATTAATTGAAAGGCAAAAGGAGGCCTATTAGGGTGCTTAACCAGCCCATGGCTCTGTTTCTCTGCACTCCCCATGCAAGGCTACAGAGCCATATTTCTGGAAGGCCAGGGGAATGAGATCCTGCCTCATTTCGGGGAGTGGGGGTGGGTGGGGAGAGAGTATTCTACAGGGAAGGGACAACAGCAAAGGAGACTTCCTGGAGCCCTCAGTCTGAATCCCTAAACTGACGGGGTCTGCAACATATCTTCCCTGCCTGATCGGGTGGGACGGGCTGATGAAATGGAACGAAGAGGGTTCTTCCATAGGTTTTAACTTTTTAAGTACGTTAAGATTCCTCACTCACCTATTATTTCTATGTGCATGTAACTGTCCATTGGAAGAGGCAGCGATAGGAAATTGAAAGGGTCGAAACGAACACTGATGTGCCCGCAGGTCTTGCATTTCACCTGAGACCTCATTTTTGCTCTGGGAAGTCGGGGGTGGGGTGGGGAGGGTGGGATACAGGGTTGGGGTGGAGAAAAGTGGTGAATAGAGAAATGTTTTAACAGAAGAAAGTATCTACGATTAGAATACAGGAGTTGCTCAGATACTAAAGAAGGAGAATATTTCACAGCAAAGAAGTTAGAAAGGAGAGAGGAGGAGAGGGTAGGAAGAGGGTAGGGAGGGAGAGGAATGGAAGAAAGGAGAGGAGGAAGGGAAGGGGACAGGAGTAGGAGTGAAGGTGAGAAGGGGGAAAAGAAGAGAGAAGTGGGGGAAAGGAAAAGGAAGTAGGATGAGGTAGGAGAGGAGGTAGGAGAAAGTAGGAGAGAAGAGGAGGGAGGGAAGGGAAAGAAAGGAGGAGGAGAAGAAGGTTTGTTGTGGAATGAGGGAAGAAAGAGAAGAAGAGCAGCTCCGAATGTAATTAAAATGTTTTATTTTAATGCTTTCTTTAAGGGAAATATGTATATGTAGGCTTTATTATGTATAAGAAAATGCATACTTTTTATTATGTGGGGAAGGGGAAAGGGTGGGGGGGGAGAAAATTGTTTGTATTTCTTATAAAACTTTCAAAAAAAAAAAAAAGATTCCTCACTCACCTATTATTTCTATGTGCATGTAACTGTCCATTGGAAGAGGCAGCGATAGGAAATTGAAAGGGTCGAAACGAACACTGATGTGCCCGCAGGTCTTGCATTTCACCTGAGACCTCAGCTGCCCGTGGAACAGGTCGACCACGATCGAGCGGTTCCTTCTCAAATGGTTCTCCCAGGCCTGAAACGAAAGGAAAGGGAGATCAAATCCAATCAAATCTTTTGCAGAAATCGGAGCGTCCTAAACAAAAAGAGGCAGCTGAAAACTTCAGAAGATAGGGTGAGAGTGATAGGGTGCTATCAGATGGGAGGGAAATTCATTCTTCAAGGAAAAGGACCATCACACAGGCTTAGCTTGCTTCAGACCACAGAGGGATGTCCAGTACAACGGAAGACTGTTTTGTACAGATAGCAATAGCACTTAGACTTATATACCGCTTCACAGTGCTTTTACAGCTCTCTCTAAGCGGTTTTACAGAATCAGCCTCTGGCCCCCAACAATCTGGGTCCTCATTTTACTAACCTCGGAAGGAGGGAAGGCTGAGTCAACCATGAGCCTGGTGAGATTTGAAATTCCAGGCAGTCGGCAGTCAGCAGAAGTAGCCTGCAGTACTGCATTCTAACCACTGCGCCACCATGGCTCATCATAGATAGATAGATAGATAGATGGATGGATGGATGGATGGATGGATGGATGGATGGATGGATGATGGATGATAGATAAGATAGATAGATAGATAGATAGATAGATAGATAGATGATAGATAGATAGATAGATAGATAGATAGATAGATAGATAGATAGATACATAGATACATAGATATACATAGATATACATAGATATACATAGATAGATAGCAATAACACTTAGACTTATGTACTGCTTTACAGTGTTTTACAGCGCTCTCTAAGCAGTTTACGGTGTCAGCATCTTGCCCCCAACAATCTGGGTCCTCGTTTTACCCACCTCAGAAGGATGGAAGGCTGAGTCAACCTTGAGACCCGAACTGGCAAACTGCTGGCAGCTGGCAGTCAGCAGAAGTAGCCTGCAGTACTGCACTCTAACCACTGCGCCACCACGGATGGAAAATAAAGAGGGATAATACCAGCAGCCGCAGCCTGTCCTTACTTGTGTAGGAAACCAGCATGTCAGTGACAAAGTGAACATTTCGTGACAGGCTTATTTTTTAGGTGCAAAATTTTGATTTTTTTTTTTCCCCACTCGGCCACATGATGTTCATACTTGAAGAAGAGATCTTCCTCTGGACTATCATTATCTGCAGGGAATCCTGAAGTTTTGGGATGATTGGTTGACCTACTGGTTGACCATGAGAGCCCGTGGCTTTCATTCTTTGAGATAATGAAAGTTAGTCTTTCTTTCTTTCTCTCTTCTCTCTTTCTTTCTTTCTTTCTTTCTTTCTTTCTTTCTTTCTTTCTTTCTTTCTTTCTTTCTTTCTTTCTTTTCTTTCTTTCTCTTCCTTTGCTTTCCTCTTCTCTCCTTCTCTCCTCTTCTTTCCTTTTCTTCTCTTCCTTTCCTTCCTATATTTTCCTTTCCACCCTTCTCTCTTCTGTTCCCTCCCTTCCATCTTCCTTCTCTTCCCTTCCCTTCCCTTCCCCTTCCCCTTCCCCTTCCCCTTCCCCTTCTCTGTTCCTTCCTTTCCTTCCTTTCCTTTCCTTTCCTTTTCCTTTCCTTTCCTTTCCTTTCCTTTCCTTTCCTTTCCTTTCCTTTCCCATCCATCTCACCATAAGGTGACTCTGGGTGGCTTCCAATGTTAAAAATCATAAAACTATACAAAACAAGTATACAATAAGAAGGAAATATTATAAAAATACAATCCTCAAGATGATGAAAAAACAAAAACAAAATCTGCATTCAAAATCAGAGAGAACCATGCATTGTCCCCAAGTTACTCACCTCTGCCGCTACCTCCCAATCCGGCCGGCCATCGCTGTCCTTCAGCTCAACATACGGCTTATCATGGACTCGATTCAGGTCCTCGTGGAGCCCATCCAGGAGAAAAGCTAAGAGCTCCTGAGAATCTTGCTGTTGGAATCCATTAAACCTTGGGGCATATTTAGCTATAGTCCACTGTAACAAAGCAAAGCGAATCCAATGGGGGTTAAGAACAGTGAGGAAGTTCACACATTGTCCGAGTTAGTTAGACAATGCTGATTGTTCGTGCAGATGCAAGGTGCTATCTTTAGGTAAATCATGGCTTAACATTATGGGTGAAATCAGCCAACTGTGCCTTATTCAAAGGTGAAAGTAAAGGTTTTCCTTGCCCAGTCGTGCCCAACTCTACGGGGCAGTCTTTATCTCTGATTCAGAGCCAAGGGAGCTACAGTTGTCTGAAGATGCTTCCATGGTTATGTGGCTCGCATGACTATACGCCAAGGCACATGGAATGCTGTTACCTTTCCACCGAAGTGGTACCTATTTATCTACTCGCATTTGCATGCTTTCCGAACTGCTAGGAGCTGGGGTGAGAAAAACACCCTGTCACGCAGTGTTTGGGTCTCGAACTGCCAACCTTCTGGTTGACAAGCCTAGTGTCAGGCCTGCCTCCGTTCAAAACTCAAGAAAGAAAACCTCCAACTCCATTGGATTAGAGAAGAAGTGCTTTTACTAAATTTGAAATGATAGCAGCAAAAGCAAGGCAAGATCTGATTCAAAACGTGTGAAAGTTACACACTGAAAGTCACCCCAAATCCCTCCCCCCAGGGTCCAGCATGAAGAGTCCACTCAATGTCTAGTATGATGTTATGGGAAAGCTCCTATTGCAGGTATTTCCCGCATCTGGAGTCTCAGGACAGTTGGCCTTGACAGAGTATAAACAACTCCATTCAACAGCGTCATAATTCATGAGTGCAAACCTCCCTTCCAGTTCTCATGGGACTACTATACATCAGCTCGCTTCCCCATCCCAAATGCCCATGTCCCCCTCGTTTCTATGGCAGCTGAGAGCAACCACGCTGCAGAAACCCATGCTGCAGATCCGGTTGGCACCCAGCATCCTAACCGCTAGACCCCTGTGCCCACTTTGGCTTATTCAATCAGTCACTTTAGAATAGAATAAAATAGAATAGAATAGATATAGAATAGAACAGAACAGAACAGAACAGAACAGAACAGAACAGAACAGAATAGAACAGAATAGAATTAGAGTAGAATAGAATAGAATAGAATTAGAGTAGAAATAAAGTAGAGTAGAGTAGAAATAGAATAAAATAAAGTAGAGTAAAGTAGAGTAGAGTAGAGTAGAATAGAATATAGTAGAGTAGAAATAGAATAGAATAGAAGAAATAGAGTAGAGTAGAGTAAAATAGAATAGAATACAGTAGAATAGAAATAGAGTAGAGTAGAGTAGAGTAGAGTAGAGTAGAGTAGAGTAGAGTAGAGTAGAGTAGAGTAGAGTAGAGTAGAATAGAGTAGAGTAGAACAGAACAGAACAGAATAGAACAGAATAGAATTAGAGTAGAATAGAATAGAATAGAATTAGAGTAGAAATAAAGTAGAGTAGAGTAGAAATAGAATAAAATAAAGTAGAGTAAAGTAGAGTAGAGTAGAGTAGAATAGAATATAGTAGAGTAGAAATAGAATAGAATAGAGTAGAAATAGAGTAGAGTAGAGTAAAATAGAATAGAATACAGTAGAATAGAAATAGAGTAGAGTAGAGTAGAGTAGAGTAGAGTAGAGTAGAGTAGAATAGAATAGAATAGAATAGAATAGAATAGAATAGCCAAGGTGGAAGGGACCTTGGAGGTCTTCTAGTCCAACCCCCTGCCCAGGCAGGAAACCCTACACCACTTCAGACAAATGGTTACCCAACATCTTCTTAAAAAGATGTTGCATTCACAACTTCTGCAGGCAAGTTGTTCCACTTATTAATTGTTCTAACTGTATCTAACTTTAATAACACCATGTGTGATTGCTGTGACACAACCGGTGGAATGACTTCAAGGAAGCAGTTACCATGTCTGTGTATGCTCCCCCCCACCCATTAAGGTAAAATCATTTCAAAAGTAGACTTTGTAGTCCAGATTCCAACCTGGTTGCAAAGTATTCTTCCCTGCTCCTCGGATCCATGGGAAAAGAATATGGCATTATCTAGGAAGGTTTGTCCCATACGCCTCCCAGGAAATGGGACTTTTGAAATTGATTGGAAATTTCATTATAAGATGACTCACTTTCATTTCAGAATGAAGCTGCAAAGGAATAAGAAACGTCGTGGGGGCTTACCCGCAACTTGAGAGGAGCAATGTTCTTTTGGGCTCCGCTCCACAGTTCTTGAATCAAATCCCCGTAGCATTTAGCCATATGCCCCTTCATTCCTATTGGATTTGTCCTGGAATTTAGAACAGAATTCGCTCCGTCAATTATCTGTTTGGCTACTTAGGAATGAGTACGTGGGATTTTGAAAAGAGGCAGACCTCGTCTTACAAACCCAATGAGAACTAGAACTTCCATCGCTAAATAATGTGCCGTTAAGTGAATCGCACCACGGTTTAAGACCTTTTTTCCCCTATGTTGTTATTTATTTATTGGTTCAATTTATATGCCGCCCTTCTCCGGAGACTCAGGGCGGCTTACAATGCGTTAAGCAATAGCCTTCATACTTTTGTATATACCTGCATAGTAGGGCTTTCGGCCCCCCCTAAGCGGTGTTCTTTTTTATATAAAATCAGCTTATTGCCCCCACAATCCGGGTCCTCATTTTATCTACCTCGAAAGGATGGAAGGCTGAGTCAACCTTGAGCCTGGTGAGATTCGAACTTGCAGTAATTGCAGGCAGCTGGTGTCACTTAACACCACTTTAATCTGCTGCGCCACCAAGGCTCTTAATCGAATCATTGTGGTTGTTAAGCAAATCCGGCTTCTCCATTGACTCTGCTTGTTGGAAGCCCTCTGAGAAGGTGGCAAATGATGATCGTTGTGACTCCAGGATGAGGCAACTCATCATACATACATGGGGTTGCTAAGCACCCACATTACTGACCACATGACTATGAGGCTGGGGTGAAATCCAAAGTTTTTCCCTACCGGTTCTGTGGGCGTGGTTTGGTGGGCGTGGCAGGGGAAGGATATTGCAAAAATCTCCATTCCCACCCCACTCTGGGGCCAGCCAGAGGTGGCATTTGCCGGTTCTCCGAACTATTCAAAATTTCTGCTACCGGTTCTCCAGATCCTGTTAGAATCTGCTGGATTTCACCCCTGTTGTGAGGATACTGTGAGAGTCATAACTGCAAGAACTAGTCACTTTTTTCAATGTTGCTGTAATTTTGAACTGTCATTAAACAAATTGTTGTTAAACAAGGACTATCTGTATATAGCCTCACATGACAGAGGGCTCCACTAAATTGCTCCCTAAAGGTAGATAGGACAAGGGCTCTTCTGAACCTCTTCTTCTATTATAAAGGCTAGATGTAATGAACGTTATCAAAAAAATCCTTTCATAATTTCTATTCAAATTTGTATAAAAGACAGGCGATAGATATGTTAAAAATAGATGAATATCTTTTAAGACAACAGTTGCCTAAACCAGGGGTCTGAAGCCGCATGTGGCTCTTTCACCCCTCTGCTATGGCTCCTTGTCACTCAAAATATGCGTCACAACCACCAATGTGCGACATCCGCCAACACGCAATTTATTGAGCTTTTCAACCCCGGGTAGGCCAACCATGGATAAATCCAAGAAAAGAAAAGTTTCAGAAGAAAACAGAACGTTTAATTAAAACTACATATGCTAGTTTTGTGGCCTCTGAAGAAATAGTCAGGTATGGGAAGGGTTTTGTGGCTCCCGGTGTTTTCTTTTCTGTGGGAAACGGGTCCAAATGGCTCTTTGAGTGTTTAAAGTTGCAGACCCCTGGCCTAAACTATCTCAAACCCAGAGACCACTTATGAATGACCTGATAACTGCCTTTGAGATATCAGAAGCCATTAAAACGATGAGGCCAGGCAAAGCCCCAGGCCCAGATGGTCTCACAAGCCAATATTATAGGTGCTTGGAGGAGGAATGTCTTCAACCATTAAAGGACACAATGAATGATATACTACAGAGGGGAAATATATCCCAGTCAGGGTGGGATTCAGCTGGTTTGAGCAAACCGGTAGTTAAATTGCTGGCTGGCCCCGCCCCTCCCTGCCCCTTCCAGGAGTCCCCACACGCTCCATTTTGGCTCCCGGTAAGTGCAGGGAGGCCTACTAGGCCCAAACAGGGTGCAGGGGGGGGGGTTCACTCCCAGGAGGCTTTAGGGAGGCCTCATAGGCCCAAATCGGGGTGCGAGGGTACAGAGCATCCCCCCCTTTTTTTTTCTCCCGGGGGGGTGCAGGAGGTTGAGTGCTGCCTGTCACATCCCCTGGCCACGCCCACCATGGCCGGTTGTTAAATTATTTGAATCCCGCCACTGACCCCAGACATTGTGTTGCTCCCAAAGGAGGGTCAACATGTTACAAAGACAAAGAATTATAGACCAATTCCATTATTAAACAAAGGATTAGAAACTCTTCGCTGCCATTCTGGCAGAAAGACTAGAAGATTTTAGAGGCATATATACATGAAGACCAAGCAGGCTTTCTGCCAAAAAGACAGCTAAGAGATAATGTGAGGACTGTCTTAAATATTATGAAATATTTACGATATCATAATATCGTAATTTTATTTATTTTTTTATTTATTTATTTATTTTATTTATTTATTAAATTTGTATACCGCCCTACTCCCGAAGGACTCAGGGCGGTGAACAGCCATAAAATAAAACATATAGATACAAAATTTAAAATAGAGATAAGACTAATTAAATAAATTTGGCTGAACCATTTTAAAACCCCAATAAATTAAAACCAAATTTAAATGGTTTAAATGTAATGAGAAAACAAGCTGCCTTAATATTTTTAGATGCAGAGAAGGCCTTCTCTTCCTCCCCCACTGTTTTCCTATTTACTTTTGTATTTTGTATCTTATTTTATTTTATCTCTCTCTATAAAAATGGCGCTGTGAGTGGGTGGGTGGGTGTGTTCCAGCATAACTCTGGAAGGCCTCAAGCAATTTCAATCAAACTTGGTACACAGATGACTTACTCTCTGGAAAGAAATACTGTGTGGGTAAGACACCCCTAAAACCCCTCGGGGAGGTGTATGTGAGTGTGTGTGTATGTTCCAGCATAACTCTGGAACGCCTGGGCCGCTTAAATGAAAAGGAATGAATTATATCTATACAGTCAAATTACAGTACTTTTGACAGTGATAGGGTGCATTTTGGATTCAAGTTCTGTTAAGATACAGCCTGTTGTGCCTTAAAATGGCTTCTACTGTACAGAGTGGAGTTGCCATGGTAACGGCTTCACAGTACTCCACAAGGGGGCTTCCTCTGGTAAGGGGGATTAGTTCTTAAAAAAAAACCAAAAAAACAGGCAACGCCGGGTTATCAGCTAGTAGTTCAATAAAAATGTTAAGTGAGATAAAGGCTCAATGTCTACATGCAGGGATGACATTTCTGTTTGTTTGTTTGAGTGATTTGCCAGCCTTTCAGGCAGGGAACCCGCAGTCCTTCTCAATGTGCAGAAAAACTAGGCAAGCAATAATGTTGTTATTAGAACCAGAAAAAAAAACCAAAAGCAGCAAATAAAGGCAGCTCTTTCCATTTCTAGTGTGTTTGTTCTCACTATTTGGATCGCTTTACAATACAGCTAGTCCTTGACTTGCAAACAGCTGCTTAGCAACCTTTTGAAGTTACGATGGGTCCCTCCAAAAGGTACACAAGACCCGGTTTTGACGTATTGACAGCCCCCCACCCATGGTCATGTGACTGCATTTTGGGCACTTGGCAACCAGCCTGCATCTATGGCCGCTTGCAGCATCCCACAGTGATATAACCGCGATTTCTGTTGAAAATTGGCATTTATTTCCAGTTTCTGGCAAAAAAATGCCCCATAATGAACAATAGGTTGGCTTAACAACACAAGGTTCACTTAAATCACCATGGGGATTCATTTAATGTCAAAAATAGGTCGTAAAATCAAATCAGTCACATGATGATCTGCTTAACAGCCATCACAACTTACGACTGTAATGGGCAGGCTCCATTACAGTTGTAAATCGAGGACCACCTGTAAGCACACACACACACACACACCCATCACAACCACTTCTGTTCATATTTCAATTCCTCCTTGAGTCACAGGTGAGAATTACCTGTTCAGCTCATACAGATGTCGGCCGGAGATGAAATACTGGGTAAGAGGTTGCGTGTTACTGACGCACTGGATGCTCGAATTCATGAAGCACGTGTTCCCCAAGTTGCTTAAGCCCGTGGCCCCTTTTTCTGTGGGAACTGGGAGAAAGGAAGAAATTGTGGAAATCAGCAGGACATTCATTATGAATAATTATAAAAGCAATAGCGCTTAGACTTATATATCGCTTCACAGGGCTTTACAGCCCTAAGTGGTTTACAGAGTCAGCATATGACCCTAACAATCTGGGTCCTCATTTTACCGACTTCGGAAGGATGGAAGGCTGAGTCAAACCTTGAGCCGATCAGGATTGAACTCCTGGCAGTTGGCAGAGTTAATCTGCAATAGCAATATAGCACTTAGACTTATATACCGCTTCCCAGTGCTTTATAGCCCTCTCTAAGCGATTTATAGAGTCAGCATATTGCCCCCAATAATCTGGGTCCTCATTTTAGCCTCCTCGGAAGGATAGAAGGCTGAGTCAAACCTTGAACTGGTGAGAATCGAACTGCTGAATTGCTGGCAGCCTGCAGTCAGCAGAATTTGCTGCAGTACTGCATTCTAACCACTACACCACCACGGCTCTTTTATTATAAATTATAAATTTATCATTATAAATAATGATAATAAACAGTACATTATCTATGCTGGAGGCGGTTTCTGGATTGATGGCAGATTCCACCTCCCCACCTGTCCATCGTTTTGGTTATCATATTGATACGTTCTCATTGTGTTCCTTTTTTATTGTTTATTTTATTGTTCTATTATTTTACTTCTGTTTTGTTTACACTCCTTTCATTTTTCATTTCTTTTTATTATTTTAAGCTTCCTAAAGTGGATGGCATGAGGAGATAGATGGTGAAAAAAAAATTTTTTAAATTATTTTTAAATTATTTTTTTTCATGTTTTATTTTATTTATAATACTTTTCATCTCTGTGGGCCTTCTCTGTGGGGGCACCCACTATCTGGAACAAGCTCCCCCCGGAGATACGGAGGATCCCGGATCTGCGCACTTTCCGCCGTGCTCTTAAGACCCTCCTATTCCAGCAAGCCGGCCTGGCCTAATTTTCTCCCCTTTCTTTTAAATTTTTAAACTGAAATTTTAATTTGTTTTAAATTATTGGGATTTTTAATTGTCTTGGGCTACATTATTTAATTTGGTTTTAAATTGTTTCTAACTTTTGTATTTCTGTATTTTATTCTGTGCCTGTTCACCGCCCTGAGTCCTTCGGGAGTAGGGCGGTATACAAATTTAATAAAACATAAACAAACAAAACATCTCCATTGAACAGTGCGTGAACTGGGTACAATTCTTTAAAAAAATCATAGTTCACATATTTGTTGTTGTATTCGTTACAAGGACATTAATAACATAACTATTTATCAATATAATTTACAATAGTACATAACATCGTCATAAACTTCTCTTCATAGTAACCTTTTCTTTTCTTATATCTCCTCCTTCCTAACTTCTGTTTCTAAAAAATGGAAAAAAAAATTTAACTGACAAAACAAACAATATTAAGCTATGCACCAAGTGCATACAGGGAAAAAGGGAGAAGAAGGAGACAGATTTACCTCCTGTCTCCTGATCCCTTATTGTGGGAAATTAAAGTGGCAACCCCAAAAAGAATTTATAATGTCCCTGTCAGCGTCCCAGCACTGACATATATAAAGAGAGGAGAAGCTTGAACTTTTGCCTACTAAATCCCTTTGAAGATTCTGTCTCCTCGGAGATGGGAGAGTGGGGAGACATTCCTGTGATCTGACGAAGAAGAGATGAGGAAAGTGGCTTGGAAGATAGCCAATGAGAAGCAGAGAATTGGGGATTGGAAAGGGAGGGATTGGGGGGTAAAGGTCAGTACTGACCGCGAAAGAGCCAGGGACAGATCGCTGTGCTCAATAAAGAGAAAATTTCCTCAAAGATCGGCAGTTTGGAAATTCATTTATTTTGAGATAGCATCGAAACCTGACAGACTCACCATATGTTAAGAATGGTGGGGAACTGAAATGGTGCCCAATGCTAAAAAATACTTTTAAGACAGCAGCAAGCTAGGAAGGCTTCAGTTATAAGCCCGGTTGGGCGTTAGCATCTATCTATGGTTGCTACGCATAGCTTTCCATGTGAGCCTGAAAAAAGATGCTCCAACTTTAAGCATCTGCTTAGGACAACTTCCTGAAGCCTGAAAAAGGCTGGGCTGCTTTAAAGGCGAGATGCCACCCTTGACCAAAAACACCTTTCCCTGAATCATTTTCGAAACAGGCGACAGCTTGATAAATTAAGCCCTCCCAAATCCGATAGAAAAGAAATGAAAGCGAGCTTTCAAAAGAGTCTGCGGCATTCCTTGCAGCCAGAATTAATTCACTTCGATCTGCAGAATAACCGAAGGAGTTGGAAGGGATTTTTTGGGCGTTGGGGGTGGGGTTGTCTTCTAGACCAGTGATGGCTAACCTTTTTGCCATCGCGTGCCAGGTAGGGAGGGAGGTTCGCACACGTGCCCACACTCATTATTCTATGCGTCCCACCCCGCGCATGGGACCCCTCTCTCCCCTGCTCCTGGCACGTGATGGCCCGGTAGGCCTGTTTTTCTTTCTCACCTGGCTCCAGATCAGTGGTGGGTTCCTCCCAGTTCGGTCCGGTTCGGCCGAGCCGGTAGCGGTGACGATATGACATCACCGAACCGGTTCTCCGCCCCCGCCCCTCCACCCCCCCGTTATTCTTACCTTTTATTTGGCCCCACCCCCAATCTATTGCTGCCTCCTGAGTCCCAGCTGATGACTAGAGGGAAAAAAACTGTTTAAACTCTTGCCGCGGGGCTTCAAAGGGCCACCCTACAGCTGATCAGTGTTAAAAGAAAACAAATGAGTCGGGTCGTAAGTGCGAGGACTGGTCGTAAGTGTGAGGACCTTCCAGAAATGACTCTGACCAGCTAGCCACGTCCACCTAGTCACATGACCTCCAAGCCACACCCACAAAATAAGCCACGCCCACAGAACCGGTAGTAAAAAAATTTAGAACCCACCCCTGCTCCAGATCCTCTCTATCCATCTGGGGAGGGCGAAAACAGCCTTCCCCATCCTATCAGAGGCTCTCTGGAGGCCTGAAAAAGCCCGTTTCCCAACTTCCGGTTGGGCAGGAAGTGACGTTTTTTCCTGTCTCCAGCCTCCAGAGCCTCTCTAAGAGAGCCTGTTTCCCTACTTCTGGTGGGCCCAGAAGGCCTGAAAATCAGCTGGCCGGCACGTGCATGCGCTGGAGCTGAGCTGGCATGCCAGGTGACATGGCTCCATGTGCCACCTGTGGCACGTGTGCCATAGGTTCGGCATCACAGTTCTAGATTAACCCCTTGCCCAAGCAGGCAACCCTATACCATTCTGCATGAGTGGCTGTCCAATTTCTTTTTTAAAAAAATCTCCAGTGATGGAGCATTCGCAACTTCTGGAGGCAACTTGTTCCACTGATTGTTTTGACTGTTAGGAAATTTCTCCTTAGTTCTAAGTTGCTTCTCTCCTTGATTGGTTTCCATCCGTTGCTTCTTGTCCTGCCCTCAGGTGCTTTGGAGAACACTTCACCCCCTTCTTAGTGACAGCCTCTCAAATAGTGGAAGGCTGCTATCTTGTCACTACTAGTCCTTCTCTTTCTTAGATTAGACATATCCAGTTGTTCATTATTTGATTTAACCTTCAGACTCCTAATCATTTTTGTTCTCCTTCTCTATACTCTTTCTAGAGCAGGGCTGCCAAACACTCCGGCCAGGGGTGGGCTTCAGATCCTTTAGCAATGGGTTCACTGCCCCGTTGCTGGGTGGGTGTGGCCATGGTGGGTGTGGCCTAATTGACTGCCTGCACCATGGCGAGGGGGATGTTTTTCGTCCTCCCCAGGCTCCGGAGGCTTTCTTTGAGCCTCCAGGAGGGTAAAAACTGCTTCCCCTGGTGTCCAGAGACCCTCCAGAGGCCAGAAACAGGCCCATTTCTGGACATCCAGTATCTCTGGTAGGCCCGTTTTTTGCCCTCTCAGACCCTCCGCACAGCCCCTGCACTTACCTGGAATGATGAACGGGCCATGTGGAGACTCCTAGGAGGGGTGGGGCAGGGTGGGCATGGCCAGCCAGGGGTGGCATTTGGGGGTTCGCCGAACCCCAGCGATCCTTGGCTAGAGGATTGCCCAAACCCTGCCAATCCCCCAGGAGGCCACCCCTGCTTCCGGCCCATGGGCCGGATGTGTCATGCACTGGGCACGCCCACGCCCGGTTTAGCGAAGGGAGAAAAAGTCCCGATATGTCATGTGATGCCACAACGACATTTCACACCCCTGTTCTAGACTCTCAACATCACTTTTGTATCATGATGATGACCAAAACTCGACAGGATCTACTAGCTTGGATTTACCAATTTACTACCAACTTACGAGCATCGTCTACCAACCCACTAGCATCTTGATGGCGAACCTATGGCACGCGTGCCACAGGTGGCACGTGGAGCCGTATCTGTGGGCACACAAGTGTTGCCCTAGCTGAACTCCAACACTCATGCTTGCGCCAGCCACCTGATTTTCAGCCCTTATGGGCCCACCGGACATTGGGAAACGGGTTATTTCCAGCCTCTGGAGGGCCTCTTGGGGGGTCGGGAAGGCAGTTTTTGCCCTCCTCAGACTCCTAGAAAGCCTCTGGAGTCTGGGGAAGGTGAAAAACGGGCCCACTGTTCTATCACTTGTCAAAAGCGGGGGAGGGGGGGGGGGGGTCCACAAGCAATGTGCGAGGGTGCGGGGTGCATTAAATTATGGGTATGGGCACGCATGCCCGCAAACCCCCTGCGCTCCCCCCATTTTTGGCACGCGACAGCAAAAAGGTTAGCCAACACTGCACTAGCAGGATTTATCTGCTTGGGACTCCCAACAGCTCATTCTCTTCATGTGTCAACCAAAAATTGACTTCTGGAAGGTCAGGGAGTAAGGAAGCAGCACTTACCTTTATGCCTGTCAATTTTACTGCTGTTTGCTATAAATGACATCTCTTCCGGCCAGCTCATGTCTTTATTGCGAACTGCAAGAACAAGAGATCAAAGTTTAGCTGGCATAAACTCCATTGCATTTAGAACAGGGGATCACCAACTTTTTGGACCTCAGGGACCACTAAATTCATAATTTTAAATCCCGCGGACCACTAATATGATCTGCCTAATGACTGGGCGTGCGTGCGTGACTAGGTGGTCATATGACTGGGTGGGCGTGGCCAACTCAATGTCACTCATGTCAAGGGGCATCTCGTCAGCCTCTACTCACCCCCTCCCCTCCCAGCCACTCCTCGCTTTCCTGCCCAGACTCCTTAGGGCCCCAACAGGAAGCAGTTGTTGGAGCTAAACAGCCACCATGAGAAAGAGTTGGCAAAACAGCTGACTCAGTTCAAATTGGATCTGACCGAGAAGGAGGCTCAGCAGAAGCACCTCACTGAGGACTAGGAGCATAGGCTTTCCAAGCAGAGGGAAGACCTGTGGGAGGGCAAGGCCAGGTACTGGCGCCTGGAGGCTCAGAGGACTGAGATGGTCAGCCAATTCCAGGACAAGATGCAGTCCCACTGGAACAAGGTCCTCCAGCTCTTCACCACCAGCAGTGCTTCCCTCCAGCCTCCATCCAAAGCCCTGCACCAGGAGGCTGAAGCAGACCTCTAGTTGGAATTTCTGCCCCCCTCAGACCCACACAAAAAGACCCCAAAGGGGGAGACTCTCTGCAGCAACACAAACGTTCATTGCACGTATCCGGCCCAAGGGCCGTAGTTTGAGGATCCCTGATTTAGTGCAATATAAAAAATGCAAATAATTTTTCTGCGGACCACCAAATTTTCTCACGGACCACCAGTGGTCCACGGACCACCAGTTGGTGACCGCTGATTTAGAATGCAGCTGACTCCAATAACATGAGATAGAAATGACAGCCTCTTTACAAAGACAGAAGGATCCTTATATTTATAAATACCACAATGTGGTTTGAAACCAGAGAGCTGTCCATTGGGGCTGCTGCCATCAAAGATCCCGACAAAAGGATTAAAAGTTCTCAGCCCGGAAAGAAATCCTCAGATGTTTGTAGGTGAGAAATTTCTGAACAAAAACTCTTCTTTTCATGTATTGTGCATCGGATTTGGCCCCCAGCTCTCCGGAAAGATCATCGTATTAAAAAAATACAATATGAACTTCCAATGATAAATGAATGGGAAAAAATAACAATAGAGGGGAAAAAAAGAATTTTTATGTCAATTAACCAAGCCGTTCCTCTAAGGCTCATATTAAACTTTTTAAGAATGAGTGTGTCAACTCTGAAGCGAACCTGGCTGAAGCCATCTTTTGCTGCCTCATAGTTGCCACGAACTCTGAAGGGGGTGGAAGGGGGTGGTGGGAAGTAGATAGACTGGCTAGCAGTCAAAACAAAAAGCTTTCTCCTGGGAACCAAGGTCATCCCAACAGCTGCCAGTTGAAGGAGAGGAAAGACCAAGCAGCCCGCCAACTACTTTAATTGGACAATGTGATCTGTGACATTCGGGGGAGGGAAAGAATTGCTCTTTTAATTAGGCTGAAACCGCGGGAAACTTTAGAGTTGGTTTTCACTAGCTGTGCCAATACGATGTATCCAATAAACATGTTCTTTGAGGAATCTACCTGCCTCGGAGTTCTGCTTTTGGTGCAGTAGTGGGATTCAGCCGGTTCTGTCCGGTTCGGTAGAACCGGTAGTGCCGACTGCAGTAGGCTCCGCACACCTGCCCGGATGTAATGCCATCCTATTTAGCCATGTTTTGGGAGCTGTGCGCATGCGCGGATGGCACACGTGCGAGCAAAGAGCATGCATGGAAGGTGCGTTCACATTTGTGTGCGCGCTCACATTTGCGAACCGGTAGGGAAGGTAAGTGAATCCCCCCTCTTTGGGCAGATGTGTTACTCGGAGTGATTAGCAACAATATAGGAACTTTTGGGAATTGTAGCAAAGGGAGTTTGAGCTTCCTTATTCTTCTGTTGCTCCAGGCAAAACCTCACTAGATTGTCCTCATTTTGCAGTGACTGAACTTGGCAACTAGAAGAAGTGTGGACTTCAACTCCCAGAATTCCCCACTGCCAGCCACGAATATTAGGTTAAAGCCACGGTTATCTTATACCTTCTATAATTAAGTGCTGTTCATCTTGAATATTCAGGTATTCCAGCGTATGATCCTCATCATCAAGAAGAGTAAGGTAGTTCTGTAGAGAAAAAGAAAATCTGCTAGTGAGTTTCCTTATCCTTACAACAGCAAAACCTGGTGACCAGAGAGAGCTGATCTTGCATCCTCCCTTGTAAATTCGGACATTTTGCGAATCCCGAGTTATACTGTCTTAACGCAAAGCCAACATGTGTATTTCCATATAGCTTGGCATGTACTGGTGGCGCAGTGGTTAAGGTGCAGCCAAACTCTGCCCGCAGTCTGGAATTCGATCCTGACCGGCTCAAAGTTGACTCAGCCTTCCATCCTTCCGAGGTTGGTAAAATGAGGACCCAGAATGTTGGGGGCGATATGCAAATGCCTTGTAAACTGCTCAGAGAGAGCTGTAAAGCACCATGGGGATGTATCTAAGCTTCAATGCTATTGTTACGTTCTTCCCAATCCAGCAGATACAGCTAGTCCTCAACTTATGACCGCAAGTGGGACTGGAACTTCTATCGCTCAGTGAGGTGGTTGAGTGAGGTGCGCCCGATTTCACAAGCTTTTTTTTTTGCTGTGGTGTTTAAGCAAAGTTCTTAAGCGTGTAATGTGGTTGTTAAATAAATACGGCTTCCGTCATTCACTTTGCTTGTTGGAAGCTGGCCTGGAAGGTTGCAAATTGTGAACACATGGCCCTAGGACAAGGCAGCCATTGTAAATACGTGTCATATGGTCATAAGTCAAGGACTATCTATACCCTAAACCAGTGATGGCTAATCTTTTTGCTGTTGCGTGTCAAAAGTGGGGGGAACCCGGGGGGGTGTCACACGTGTGCATGCCCACACCCATATTCAATGTGGCCCGTACCCCCACACATGCGCATGCGGTCCCCCCTGCGCTCCCCCCGTTTTTGGCACACGATGGCACGATGGGCCTGGTAGGCCTGTTTTTCGCCCTCCTCAGACTCCAGAGGCTTTTTTGGAGCCTGGGGAGGGCGAAAACTGCCTTCCTCACTCCCCCGGAGGCCCTCCGGAGGCTGGAAATGGGCCGTTTCCCGATGTCCGGTCCCACCAAGAAAGGCTCTGGACCCTGGGGAGAGCAAAAAATGGGCCTTCCGATCCCACCAGAAGTCGGGAAATGGTCCGTTTCCAGCCTCCGGAGAGCCTCCGGGGGAGTGGGGAAGGTCGTTTTCTCCCTCCCAAGGCTCCTAGAAAGGCTCTGGAGCCTGGGGAGAGTGAAAAATGGGCCTTCCCCACCCCTCGGAGGCCGGAAACATCCTGTTTCCCGACTTCCAGTGGGCCCAGAAGGCCCAAAAATCAACTGGCCAATGCGCACATGCGTGCCAGAGCTGAGCTAGGGCAACAATGACCACAACAAAGCCCAAAGTTTCAGTTGCTAAGTAAGAAAGTTAAGTCCATTGTGCCCCATTTTACAACCTTTTTTCCCCGACATCTCTCGAGTGAATCACTGCAATTGTTAAGTGAGTCATGTGAGAAGTTAAGCGAACCTGGCTTCTCCCACTGACTTTGGTTGTCAGAAGCTGGCTGGGAAGGTTGCAAATGGTGATCACATGACTCTAGGACGATGCAAGCATTGCCAACCGACGTCAATTGCCAAGCACCCAAATTTTCATTACATGACAGAGGGATGCAGTAGCAGTCATAAGTATGGGTCATAATTCATTTGCTTAGCACCGTTGTAACTTCGAATGGTTACTAAACAAATTGTTGTGGCCTGTCGGACGCCGGCCCCTCCAGCAGCCAAATCAGAGGAGGAGGAGGAGGCATGGGAGTCAGGGCCAGCATCAAGGCAATCTGAGAGCTCCAAGGAGGGAAGAGGGAGTAGAGCTGTCAGAGAGAGAGAGAGACAGAGGCAGAGCCTGGGCTGTCCGTCAATCCTCAGATGGAGAATCAACAGCCCCCAGATCTGGAGATGGCTGATGAGGAAGAGGAACAGCAGGGTCCAGTGCCTGACGTGCAGATGCACAAAAGGCAGAGGAGAGGAGAACAGGGGAAATCCATGGGCCGATCCTTGGGAAGGAAGAGTCACTGCTGCTAGAGAAGCCCCACCCTAGCTCTGGGGATAAAAGGCAGGGGGCGGAGATGAATAGATGTTAGTTAGTTTAGTTAGTTTATTTGATTTGTATACCGCCCTACTCCCGAAGGACTCAGGACAGTGAACAGCCAAATAATAAAATACATAAATATAAAAAATTTAAAAAAACAGATAAAATCGAATCAAACCATTTTGGCCCAGACAAATTAAAACACCCCAATAATTTAAAAACAGATTAAAATTTACATATTAAAAAGAGGGAAAAGATTAGGCCAAGCCCGCCTGGCGGAATAAAAAGGTCTTCACAGCGCGGCGGAAGGTGCGCAGATCCGGGATCCTCCGTATCTCCGGGGGGAGCTCATTCCAGACAGTAGGTGCCCTCACAGAGAAGGCTCTCTCCCTAGGGGCCGCCAGTCGGCATTGTTTGGCTGACGGCACCCGGAGGAGTCCCTCTCTATGAGAGCGTACCGGCCGGTGGGAGGCTATTGGTGGTAGTAGGCGGTCCCTTAGGTAACCAGGTCCTAAGCCATGGAGCTTAGATGTGGCAGACAACTATTCATCTCCCTGTCGGATGGACTCGTTAGCCTGTGGCGAGAGAGAAACTTTTTGCTAGGGCTGCTGGAGTTCCTAATAAAAGAAGTCTTTGAGTTAATTTCAGAGGGTTGGTTGTGTTTGGGGAGCTGGGTCAGAAGACAAATGGTTGTAAGTTGAGGACTATCTGTATGCTGGCTCTGCACATCCCAGAAGGGCTGGCTTAGCATGTCTGAACTAAGCTGCAATCAAAGGAGGAATGACTAACTACTAATACCAAACGCCTTTGTACCAAAACAGGCCTCGGATCCCAACATTCAGATTTAGTGTTTCAACTTCCAGCCACCACGCACGGGCTGAGAGCCCCAACAGTTTCTTCTCCATGATTCTGCCGTTACCTCACTGTTGTACAGCCACAGGCGCATGTCCTCCTCTTTCATCCTCAGCCGCTGTGACAGGTATTCGTGGATCTCCTTGATGGTCTGGGTGCGACTAAAGCAGCCGGTGTAGGCCAAGACCCTCTTCAAGGGGGCGCTGGGTGATGGGACGTTCCCTAAGTTCACAAGCAGACAGAAACGGAAGTTAAGAGCCAAAGGGGCAAGATACAGTACGGGGGGTCTCCAAACTTGGCAACTTTTAAGGCTTGCGGACTTCAACTCCCAGAATCCCTCAGCCAGCATCGTGATGCTGGCTGAGGGATTCTGGGAGTTGAAGTTCCACAAGCCTTAGAAGTTGCCAAGTTTGGAGACCCCCTGTGCTCAAGAGCGTGCAAATCAATGTTCGTGGGTCGATCTGGACTTGCTGGTGATTTTAGTTGTTGTCTGGATGGGTCCCTCTTGCTTAACTTATAACAAGAGTCTGAAGCAAAAGTGGGCAGAGAACACAGAGACAGAATGGCTAAGTGAATGCACAGCCTGGCACGTGAGTAAATTTGCAGGCCTCAACACAGGCAAAATCGGGTAAGTGAAAATATTGGGCTGTCTGGGAAGACAAAATGGGATCTAACAGTTCCAGATATCAAGGCAACAGGTGTAAAAAGGGTTAGGTTGGTTACTATCTGGTTCTTTTCCAGGTAGGGGTCTCCACGCGGCCCGTTCTGGATGCCAGGTAAGTGCAGGGACTGCATGGAGCCTGGGGAGGGTGAAAAATGGGCCTCCCAGAAGTTCCGGAAGTCTGGAAACGGGTCCGTTTCTAGCCCCCAGAGCCCAGAGAGGCCATTTACACCCTCCCAGAGGCTCAAGGAAAGGCTCCGGAGCCTGCGGGGCCCTGAAAACACACACACCTCACTGTGGTGCAGGAGGCCGAGTAGGCCATGCCCACCATGGCCATGCCCACCCGGCACCCAGGCAGAGAAACGGTTGCTAAATTTTTTGAATCCCACCCCTCGTGCGCGCATCCACAGGGGGGTGGGGGAGCATGGGTATCGTGTGCACATGCGCACGCATTGCATTATGGGTGCCGGCACGCGCTGTCACACACGCTTTTGGCACACGAAGAGAAAAAGGTTAGCTATCACTGCCCTATACCATTTCAGACTGATGGTTGTCCAATCTCTTCTTAAAAACTTTCAGTGTTGGAGCATTTACAACTTCTGGAGGCAAGTAGTTCCACAGGTTAATTGTTCTCACTGTCAGGAAATTTCTCCTTAGTTCTAGGTTGCTTAGTTATGAAAGCCAGACTTTGGAACAGTCAATCTCTCCCTCTCAGCCCAACCCACCTCAACCCATTGTTGTTGTGGGGAGAATAGGAGGAAGGTGTGTTGGGTATATTCTCCATCTTGAAGTGTTTGTAAAAATAATAAAAAGTCAAAATACAAATAAATAACAAGGTTTGCTGAAGTATTCTGTCTTAGTGTTTTCTTTTCCAGTACGGGCCAATGTATAAGCAGGCCCTGTTTGATGGGGAAAAAATATGCCTGCTTTTGTAATAACCAATACAATGAACTTCAAACATCTAGTTTGATCCAAGCAAGGCCAGAACCCTGATTTATTTGCATGCAGGTTAATGAAAAACAGCAAAATTTGAATTTTTCAATTTCTTCGTCAGGCAGCAAGCATCCCTCTCCTTTCACACCCTGGTAATTTTTCCCGTGTCTTCACCATCAAGCAAGGCATCCTCTCTCTGTATATAATACAAAGCCATTCCCCCCACCCCCGCAATCGAAAAGCGAGAGATTAAGAATAAGATTACAGCAAGAAAGCATGTTGGGATGGAGGGCAGGCTCACGAATCATGGTTGATTTCACCGTTAGTGCCGAGCGAACAAACACCAAATCACATTCCGATATGTATTATGAAAATCCCCTCTCTTCCAAATTGGGGGATTTCGATGTGTTGAAGGGAAAGCAGCTCCGACCACCAGATACTGAATCAAGTTTTTGATAAGCAGCTGGCTGGATTTTGTTATATTCGGATTAATACGAGCCACCGATTTTCACCGATCAGGAGGGAGGAGGGTTTTTCCTGAGACACCCCCCCTCTCTTTTTTTACAGGTGGCAGAAGCAGTAAAAAAAAAACCCAACCACACACACCCAAAGTTGAAGGTTTAGAACGAGCGTTTTAAGCAAACTCTTATTAAAGGTCAACACAGCATCCAGCTTTTCTTCTAAAGACTTGTCTTACCCAGCTAATATTATTTGGATTGCAGGAATTCAGCCATTATCTGGCACCAAGGCCAGCTGGTAAGGACAGAGACCTTGAAAAACACCGTTTCCCAGATGCATCGAGCTTCTTATCCAAGGGACATGGAGCTCACTGGCTTTTCTCCACCCCAAGGAAGACTGTTGCCAGGAGAGGAGAACTGTGGCAAGGAAGTGGCTTTGGCAGCCAAGTTTCTAAGAGGCCAGGAATTTCTCACAGGAAATAATTCTTTTCTTTGATTGGCCCTCCACAAATTACCTTATTAAAAAAAAACCTCTTGTAATTTTAAATTGTTTTTATATTTATACACTAGCTGCCCGGGTTTTATTTTGTTTTTTAAGAACCAATCCCCCTTACCAGAGGGAGCCCCCTTGTGGAGTACAGTGAAGCTGTTACCATGGCAACTCCACTGTACTGTACAGTAGAAGCCATTTTAAGGCATAACAGGCTGTATCTTAACAGGATTTGAATCCAAAAGGTACACTATCCCTGTCAAAAGTATTGTGATTTGACACCATAGATATAATTCATTCCTTTTCATTTCAGCGGCCCAGGCGTTCCAGAGTTATGGTGGAACGCTCACACGCACTCACACACACCCCAAGGGGTGTTAGAGGTGTCTTACCCCCACAGTATTATTTTCCAGAGAGTAAGTCATCATCTTATCACATCCCCCTTAATCCTTCGGTAGGGTAGATTAGGGGTGTCAAACTTGATTTCATTGAGGGCTGAATCAGGATTGTGTTTGACTTTGGGGGGGGAGGCAGGAGGAGGCGTGATCAGCTCAAAGTCAGTTGTTTCGGGGGCGTCTGTGGTGGGCCGAGTGTTCTGCCAGTGAAAACAGACTCCCGCACTCCGTTTCCAGCTGTGACGGCCTCCTGCAACCCTCTGTCAGAGAAAACAGAGCTCTGGAAGGCCATGCGTGGCCCACATTAGTTCCGTTTTAGGCTGCGACGGCCTCTTGCAATCCTGTGCCAGTGAAAATGGAGCTTGGGAAGGCTGCCCGCGGCCCTCCCAAGCTCCATTTTCACTGGCAGAGGCACCGCGGGCTGGTCCTTCACTGTTTCCAGGGTGGCCCCATGGGCCAGATCTAAGCACCACACAGGCTAGATCCAGCCCATGGCTCTTCAGTTTGACACCCCTGGGGTAGACATACCTAACTCCCTCAACTTGTTCATCGTAAGATTTAGCCTCCAGACCCTCCATCATCTTTCGTTGCTCTTCTCTGCACTCAACCTCAACCTCTATTTTCTATCATAGTGACCAGAACTGGACGCACCATTCCAAGCATGGCCTCTCCAAGGGGTTCCAAATGAGGAAAAGAAAAGCACCCGAATGCTTCCGTGACCTTTGATGAGAGTTTTGAATCCCTTTGGAAGGGGAGGAGAGAGGGGGACAACCATCACCAACCGTGCTTTTAAGGGTTCATTAGTGTCATTTACAAGCACTGTGGCAGCATAGGCGTCGGAGTCTGGGCGGTGGAGCCGGCCTCCCCTCGAGAACTACTGCGCAGCTGGGTTCTTGCTGTAGTCTTACGTTACCTCTCGGCCAATGTTGAGGAAACAGCCTCAGGCTCATCATACCCATGTTCACCCAGACGTTGGATTGCTGGGTCCGGGTAGCTGGCTGCTGTCTAAGGAAGAGCAGGTAACGGGGAAACAGCTCCAGCTCGGGCAGGCCCGTCACACTGTTTCTGATCACCTGCAGGAGGAAACAGAAGCAGTTTTTTAACAGATTAGCAAGAGCTGGAAGAGACCTTGGAGGTCATCTAGTCCAACCACACGCACACCCTGCCCAAGCAGGAGACCCTACACCATTTCTGACAGATGGCAGCCCAGTCTCTTCTTGAAAGCTTCCAGTGATGAAACTCCCACAACAACTACTTTATTTTTTTTAAATAAAGTTTTATTAATTTTCTAATATTACATTAATTAATATTAGGGATGCAGTGGCTCTATGGCTAAGACGCTGAGTTTGTCGATCGAAAGGTCGGCAGTTCAGCAGTTCGAATCCCGAGTGCCGCGTAATGGGGTGAGCTCCTGTTACTTGTCCCAGCTTCTGCCAACCTAGCAGTTCGAAAGCAGGTAAAAAATGCAAGTAGAAGAATAGGGACCACCTTTGGTGGGAAGGTAACAGCGTTTCGTGCGCCTTTGGCATTGAGTCATGCTGGCCACATGACCATGGAGACGTCTTCGGACAGCGCTGGTTCTTCGGCTTTGAAATGGAGATGAGCACCACCCCCTAGAGTTGGGAGCGCACCCCATTGCACGGCACTAGGGATTCGAACCGCTGAACTGCCGACCTTTCAATTGACAAGCTCAGCATCTTAGCCACTGAGCCACCATGTGTGCTTCTTGTAGAGATGTGTCCCCCTCCTTATATTCCACCGGCAATGTACAGTCCTAAGGTCTCTGCCCAAGAGGGAGAAAAATGATCCTGCTTTTTGGACCATGAAAATTGCTAGTTTCCATGGAGAATATGTGGGAGAAATTTAATAGTAAATCGGAGTTACTGGATGCTACATCTAGGAAGGGAGCACAGGCAGTGTTCAGTCCTTCTAAGATGGATATGTACAATTTTTATCTGGAGCTGCGAATGAGGAAAAGCTAGCACTTTGTCAAGTAAATAATGATGCTTAAACTTTTTAAAACAGAACTATTTCCCCTGATTCTGAATAATTCTGCTCACAGGAGGGTTACCATAGGAGCACATGAAGTTTTTGGAAGGCTAAATAAATATGCAAAGCAACAATGGAAGTGCATTGGCATTGAAAACCCTTACCAAAAAAACCCTTCAATTTAGCAAATCATTTAGATTTGATTTCTACCACCACCCCCGGACTGCCCCCACCCTACTGGCCTTCCGGAAAGGGTGAAGACCTGGCTCTTCCGGCAGGCCTGGGGCCGTTGATCTCACTATGGTAATCCTGCGAGACCCGGCCACGAATTGGAGTGTATGGGTTTTAATGTTTTCTTTTTAAACTTTTGTATGGGCTATTGTTCGCATTGTTTTATTCTTTGTTGTTAGCTGCCCAGAGTCCCTCGGGAGTTGGGCGGAATAAAAATGCGACAAATAAATAAATAAACAAACAAACATTTGGAGAAAGGGGAGTCCATTAATCCTGTCTGTCCATTAAATCCAAAAGACGTTCATTATTTATGTACTTTTGCTGTGTGTCAAAAACCTGCCAGCTATTATGCACTTTTGTCTTTCAAATGCAGATGGAACCGCTGAATTTTATCCTATGTTGTGCCACACGTTTGTGAAGTGGTTGTTTTGTTTCTCCAAAGTACAGATCTGTACATTGGTGATGGTTTCACCAATTCTCTTTTGTGAACGATCCGAATTTCAGAGAGGTGGCAGGGTCATACCCATGCTGCAGAACTAGCTATCTAGTGTGGCTCATTAAACTTGCAAGATTCACCGTCTCATGGCCATCAACTTGAATGCCACATGTCATGCTGTTTATTACTATTTACTTCCATCCTGTGCCCATGTACTTAGTTGCTAACAGGCAACGATCAAGCAGCCAGCTCTAATCCATTAACCTTGTGCCGGCAGATGGAAATTCTTGGGGTTTTTTTATCACCATTATCCCATTGAGGAGCATCCGGAGGCTCCAACTGGTCCAGAATGCGGCCGCGCGGGTGGTTATGGGAGCGACGTGGCGTTCCCATGTAACATCTCTCCTGCGCGAGCTGCACTGGCTCCCGGTGGTCTTCCGGGTGCGCTTCAAGGTCTTGGTTACCACCTTTAGAGTGCTCCATGGCTTAGGACCTGGGTACTTACGAGACTGCCTTCTGCCACCAGTAGCCTCTCACCGGCCAGTACGCTCCCACAGAGAGGGGCTCCTCAGGGTGCCATCGGTCAAACAGTGTCGACTGGCGGCCCCCAAGAGGAGATCCTTCTCTGTGGGGGCACCTGCCATTTGGAACGAGCTCCCCCCGGAGATATGGAGGATCTCGGATTTGCGCACTTTCCACCGTGCTGGCCTGGCCTAACTTCCTTTTAACTGTTAATTTTAATTGGTTTTTTTAAAAAAAACAGGGGTGTTTTAATCAGTATGGGCCGAATTTATTTAATGTGTTTTAAATTGTTTTTTAAATTTTATATTATATGTGTTTTATCTTTGGCTGTTCACCGCCCTGAGTCCTTCGGGAGTAGGGCGGTATATAAATCCAAAATAAACTAAACTAATAAAAATTACTTCCCCACCTCTGCTTTAAGATGCCACTGTACTTTTGGAGAAACAAAACCAAAAAAAGAAATCCAATTCCCTCACAACCTTAAACTCTTAAAAATGCACATTTAGCACTGTAATACCCAATTTGGCACAGAGCTAACTTACCAAGCCAAAAATATATCCAATTTTGTGCGTGGGTGTATTTTTTTTAAAAAGCTCAACACTCTGGGGTTATGAATAAAAGCAGAATATGAGTTGGAGGGGATATTTTAATGGAAAACATATGCTGGGAGATATCAAAAATCCCAAATCAGGTTTTTTTCCCCATCTGATGCATCCCAGGTGTGCTGCTGTAGCACTTCCATCCAGCAAAATAGATTTATGTTGGTTAGAGTGTCCCACATATCACAATTAGAAACGATTGCCCTGAAGATTACATGTCTCAAACAGGTTTTTTTTCCCCTCCTCCCATTAAATTGAGATAAACGGAAAATTCATCCAATTTTTTAAAAACTCTGAACATCTAATTACAGGTAGCCCTTGATTTATGAATATAATGGAACCTACCAAATAAGGTCCTATGTCCTGATGGTCGTAAAGAAGATCATCATATGACAGACCCTATTTGACCCTTTTTTGTTTTTGCGGTAATCGTTAAGTAAACGCATTGTTCCCTATGAGCCGCGGTGGCGCAGTGGTTAGAGTGCAGCACTGCAGGCTACTTCTGCTGGCTACCGGCTGCCTGCAGTTCAAATCTTACCAGGCTCAAGGTTGATTCAGCCTTCCATCCTCCCGAGGTGAGTAAAATGAGGACCCAAATTGTTGGGGGCAAGATGCTGACTCTGTAAACCGCTTAGAGAGGGCTGTAAAGCACTGTGAAGCGGTATGTAAGTCTAAGTGCTTTTGCTATTGCAGGCAAACTCTGCCCACTGCTAGGAGTTCGATCCTGACCGGCTCAAGGTTGACTCAGCCTTCCATCCTCCCGAGGTCGGTAAAATGAGGACCCAGATTGTTGGGGGCAAGAGGCTGACTCTGTAAAATTATTGGTTCAATTTTTTTGTTGGTTCAATTTATATGCCGCCCTACTCCGGAGACTCAGGGCGGCTTACAATGCGTTAAGCAATAGCCTTCATATTTTTGGCCCCTCCTAAGCGGTGTTCTTCTTTTATACAAAGTCATCTTATTACCCCCACAATCCGGGTCCTCATTTTACCTACCTTGGAAGGATGGAAGGCTGAGTCAACCTTGAGCCTGGTGAGATTTGAATTCGCAGTAATTGCAGGCAGCTGGCAGCTAAGTGCTATTTAACAGCACTTTAGTCCGCTGCGCCACCAAGGCTCTTCAAATGGCTGAGAGATAGGGGTAAAGCACTGCGCAGCGGTATGTAAGTCTTAAGTGCTATTGCTATGGGGCGAAGTAAAGAGTGATTTTGAGGAAAAACATTGCAATTTGTAGTTACGTTAACTGCAGGATGCTGCAAACAACAGTAAACGTGGGCTGGTATTAAGTGACCGAAATGTGGTCATGTGACCTTGGGAGGGGCTTCAGAACATTGGAATTGGGTCGTAAGGACCTTTTGGGGAATCGTGATAACTTTGAACAGTCACTAAGCCACTGGTCATAAGTCGAGGACTACCTGTAGCATAAAGGGGGTGTTTTTTTTTTTAAACCATTAGGGAGCTGAGGAACCTTCTTGGATGAGAAGCGAAACTTCTTCAAGGAAAAATCAGAAAGTCCAGTTGCCTCTTGAAAAAGCACCTTTGGGACAACTATGCCTGGATGACTGAGAATCTCCGTAGACATTTAGTGATGCGTTAGAGATGCAGTTTTGGCAAATACAGTGATAACTCAGTACTCCACTGCTTTGAAACTCCACAAATTTGGTACTCAATGTATTTGGACATGAAAATTTTCTCCCAGTACTCATCGTTTGTTTGATACTAAATGCACAAGCTAGAACTTGTCAGCCTCGGCTGCCTTGTGAATCATTACATTTACTCCTTATGGGGAAAATTTGCTTGGTACTCATTGTTTTTGTATTATCATGCCTCCCAGAACTAATTAACGATGAGGTACCACTGTACGGGTAGTCCTCGACTTACAACAATTCGCTTAGTGACCATTCGAAGTTGCAACGGCACCGAGAAAAGTGACTTCTGGCCATTTTTCACACTTATGACCATTGCAGCATCCCCACAGTCATACGATTTACATTTGGGTGCTGGACAACTGACTCACATTTATGACGGGTTGCAGTGTCCTGGGGCCATGTGATCCCCTTTTGCAACCTTCTGACTAGCAGTGTCAATGGGGAAAACCGATTCACTTAACAACCGTGGCAAGAAAAGTCGTAAAAATGGGAGAAAACTCACTTAACAAACTTCTCGTTTAGGAGCGTACGTTTTGGGCTCGATTGTGGTCGTAGGTTGAGGACTCCCTGTGTCTACATCAGGGTTGTCAAAACTCGATTTCATTGAGGACCACATCAGGGTTGTGTCTGACCTTGGAGGTGGTGGGTGGGCGTCGCCAGGGTAGGCGTAGCCAACTTGACATCACTCATGTTGGGGGCACCTGTGGCGGCCTCAATGCTCTGCCAGCAAAAATGGAGCTTGGTAGGCTGCGACGGCCTCCTGCAACCCTCTGCCAGGGAAAAGAGCTCGGGAGGGCCGCGTGCGGCCCTCCCGAGCTCCGTTTTCCCTGGCAGAGGGTTGCAGGAGGCCGTCGCGGCCTACCAAGCTCCATTTTCGCTGGCAGAGGCACCGCAGGCCGGTGCTTGACTGTTTCCAGGGCGGCCCTGAGGGCCAGATCTAAACACCGGGCCAGATCGGGACCCCTGGGCCTTGAGTTTGACCTCCTTGGTCTACATCTTTAGTCAACCAGTTTACATTAAGCAATTGGCAAGGGCTTTGGTGATCATTAGGAATATTAAATATTTAAAAGAATTCAGCTCGAAATTTTCGGCTCAGATTTTGAAGAATCCGATTCAGAATAACAACCTAAAGGAGCATTGCCCATTTTCAGTACTTACCGGCCTCGGCAAAGACAGGTTCGCTCCGTACCAATGGTAGAGGGCTCTCCATACCGGTTCTGGGACCATTTCATAATTTTTCCCTTGGATCAATTGGGGCGATGGTTTTAATCGCCCGCCTTCCAAAGTCAACGATGGAGCCTTCATTAAAATAAAAAGAAGGGGATGGAGGGGAAAAACACCCATCAGATTCCGAGTTTCTCTTCGATCAATTTTCTTGAAAACTGCCCCATGCAGGAAGATTAACAATTCCAAACCGAATAAAGAATGAATGCAGATTAATACAATAGGCTGAGCAACATTAGGGAGACCGTTCCATTTCACAAAAGGGATTCGGTTATTAAAAGGGTTTGGATCAGTGGTGAAATCTGAACCGGTTCGCTACCGGTTCGCTGGCTGCGCATGTGCGCCAAATGTGCCTACATGCGCACGCGCAGTATGTACCAAAAGGAGGCTTGGGAAGGTAAGTAGAACAGTGAGGGGGGGGGATCAGCTGTGCAGCGCGATTTAGCTTCGCTAGAAAGCAGGATTTCCTGCTTTCTAGCAAAGCTAAACCCCGCAGCACAGCTGATCGTCAGAAATACCACTTCGGAGGAATTGGTAGCTTTTTTATCACTACCGGTTCGCCTGAACCGGAGCGAACCGGTTGCATTTCACCCGATTTGGATTATTTGCGTGCTTGTTCAACATGGTGGTTCTGCGTTTTTTTTCTGGCAATGGGCCACTTTTTTCTAACCCTGGAGATGGAAGTATTAGCAAGAGTCTGACCCGTTAAGAAATGGTCCCTGAGCCGACTTTTTTTCCTTCTCCTTCCCCATCTTTTTTTCTCGATTATTCTAAATAATTATAATAATAACGAATTATACCGCTGATTCCCACAACACTGTCAAACAATCTAGAAAGGTGTCAGCATTGGAAGCCATATTAGGCCGGAAGTTTCCATGCTGCCACCTTCTCCTGCATGGGAAAGTAGGAGGCGGGGAATTAGTAGAGGGGTTGTTTGTAGACATAATAGCATTCTTCCTGTCGGTCAAGGTCAGGGCGATCCGGCATCTGGAGAAGGAGTGGTCGGAGTGCTGAGTCGAGATGGGACGGACGTTGATTGGAGCCTGTGATCAACTGAGGAGTGAGGGGATGGTTTGGGAGGTTTTGATTTACTGAGGGAAAACCCAGACCTCTCAGATTCGGGTTTTCCCAGATGTGCCTATTCTACCTATTCTAGTAAAGAGAACTTTGGAAAATGCTTGCTACGGCGTCTTTACTTGGAGTGGGGGTTTTCTGGAATGCTGACAGAAAGCCAGGATTACCATCATTATCCTCATCTTCCCCATCTCCTTATCTTCTTATGACTATAACTTTGTTGCTTGTATCTTACGATTTATATTGTTTACTTAGTATCCTAGTATGATTTATGTTGATTGCTTATTTAGTATCCTATAACTATCACTAAGTTTTGTATCTAATGTTTTATGGTGAATGTATTTTTACAATGACTATGATCATGATCTATCCCTATTATAATAATAACTTTTATTTGCAGTCACAGACCATAATACAAATATAGTTGCAATAGAACGTGAGGAAAGTAACATCATAAACAGTTGGCTATCAGAAGCCTTGGCTGAGAGGAATTACAGTGTTCTCCTCTAATAGTTACAGCTCTTAAAAAAATTTAGAAACCTGAAAAGTAATGTCTGAGGAGCCATCCCCTAAACAATGTAAGGTCAAATTACTAGCACTAGATCCAGAGAGATTTGTTTCTAGGAGAGACAGTAATTTAGTCCTGCCTGCATTATACATAGGGCAGTATAAAAGAACATGCTCCAGTTTCAACCTCAGCTCTATCACAGGGGCATAACCACTCACGATCTATCACTATTATTGTATGTACACTGAGAGCTCATGCACTGGAGACAAATTCCTTGTGTGTCTAATCACATTTGACCAATCAAGAATTTGAATTCGAATTCTTAGAATTAGATAATAATTAATTATTCCAATTAGAATTAGAATAATTTTATTTAGAATTAGAATTTTATTTTATTTAGAACCTAATTCTGTCTCCAGATTGCAAATCTGTTTCACTGCTTAGCCTTTGGCTAAAGAGCAGAGTTTAAATTAATTAAATAAGCCAAAAAAATAAGTTTTGCAAACATCTGGGGCACAACCTGACTAGGGCAGCTGTCCAAATTTAGTGACTTCTCATCTTTCCATTCATACTGACTACGGATTCAGTTCCAAGCTTTTTCGTGGAGGTGTCGTCATTTTTTAAAGCTCAAAATACTTGAAAAAGAGTGTTTTTTCACCTTATTCCTGTTTCAAGGCAGTTCCCTGCCTTGAAACAGGAGCTGAAAAAGTGCAGCCTGCTTATAAAGCCAACAGTCAGGGTGTTGAGGAGTACCGGAACTGCAGTGGCCCGTAACGATTGGGGCACCATGGACCGGTTCCACGGAGGGTTTTCTATGGACCAGAGAGGGCGTGGTTTTGCATGCTGCCTGCGCCTGGAAGGTGGGGCTTCACTTATTTGCGTGGACCAGTTGCTGGCATGCCACAGACTGGTGCCGATTCAGAGACTGGGGATTGGGGAACCCTGCTGTATAATTTATAACTTGTATAAGTATAACTTATACTTATAAGTTTTTATACTTATAAGACGCTTACCTTCACAGGCTCTTGCGTTACAAGGGGCTGATTATCGATCGCTCCGGGCCGCTGTGGATTCAGCAACTGCAGTAAGATATTCCCATTAGAGGCAAGGAGGCACTGATTGTTGTTATCTGAAGAATTAAGCTGTCGAGCAAAGGACATCTCGGCGTTGGGAGTGGTGGCGTAAATAAAATCTGGAAGGTAAATGAGGACGAAGCAAAAATAAGCACGAAGGGTGCAAAGGGTAGAGGGGAATATCAGTAAGGAGCAAACCAGCAGCCCTGAAGGTATGACTGAATTATAACACCCCTCAAATCTCACCATCTGTATGCCGACTTGAAAATGGTATGAATTGTTTAGAATAACAGAGTTGGAAGGAACCTGGGAGGTCTTCTAGTCCATCCCGCTGCTTAGGCAGGAAACCCTATTGCTGTGATGGCGAAACTATGGTAAGTGTGCCATAGCTGGCACGCAGAGGCCTCTCTGCGGGCATGCGAGCCTTCGCCCAGCTCAGCTTTTGGGCCCAGGAGGTTGCAGAGAGGCCTGCTAGGCCAAAAATGGGAGCAGGGAGGCCATGCGCGCATGGGAGCATGGGGGGTGCATGCGGAGGGCACACACTTTCGGCACACAATGAGAAAAAGGTTAGCCATCATTGCCCTATTACCATTGCTGATAAATGGGGATCCAATCTCTTCTTAAAAACTTCCGGTGTTGGAGCATTTACAACTTCTGGAGGCAAGTTGTTCCACTGATTATTAGCTCAATAGCATCTGGAAAGCCTCTTTTTATGATCCATCATATAACAGGATCTTGGCACCTCCTTGGTTTCCTCAGGAGGCCTGACAGGTAGTCCTTGACTTACAACAGTTCGTTTAGTGACCATTCAAAGTTACAAAGGCACTGAAAAAAGGGACTTATGACTGTTTTTCAGCTCTCTCTATGGGCACATGATCAAAATTTAGACACTTGGAACTGACTCATATTTATGACGGTTGCAGTGTCCCGGGGCCATGTGATTGGCTTCTGCGACCTTCTGACAAGCCAAGTGAGTGGGGAGGCCAGATTCGTTTAACAACCGTGTCACTAACTTAACAACTGCAGTGATTCACTTAACAACTGGGGCAAGAAACGTCATATAATGGGGCGAAATTCACTTAACAAATATCTCACTGAGCCACAGGAATTTTGGGCTCAATTGTGGTCGTAAGTCGAGGACTACCGGTACTCTTCTCCTATTGCTTCCCACGTCCACATAATGCTTCTGTTTGAAAACGTGACTCTAATGTTTCGTAAATTTAGCTAAACCTCTTACCTGGTTTCGACCATTCTCACACATTTAAGTCTACCTTCAAAGCCCTTTAGAAATAAAACAGTGTGTCAGGCTGTTGTTGTTTTGGGGGGTTAATGCTTACTGCTGTTAGTTGTCTCCGATGCTTCTGACGCGCTGGAAACACTATCTGAAAACTTTTCTTCTGCGGCACTGATGTTATTCGAAGCACCCATTCGGTCGTCTCCCTGCTCTGATATAGGTGACCCAGGACTCAGGAGAGAAGCCTTACCTCCATTTGAGACAGACAAAGGCTCCAGCATAACAGGGAGAGCATCCTAAATTGGAAAAGAAAGTCAGAACTCAATTCCTATGGAGATTCTCAGCCATCCAGGTCATGGTTGTCCCAAAGGAAAGTCCAGGTGCAGAGGCCACTGGACTTTCTGGTTTTTTTTCTTTTGAAGACGTTTCGCTTCTCATCCAAGAAGCTTCTTCAGCTCTGATTGGATGGTGGGGAATGGAAGGATTTATACTCCTTGCAGACAGCTGGTCATTTGCATCCTTTTTAGAGAATCTTTGAGGCTACCTGGAGGTTTATCTGTGTTTATCTTCAGGGTCACCTGAGAGGCACAAATGGGTATGGAGCCTTCTTGGAATTTCAGTGGTATGGACCGAAGATTGATGATGTTGTATCCCTCCTTCGATGTTGAGAGAGGGCCGCTCAATTTTGTCATAGATGGCCTCTTTGACCCGTCTTCTAAACCAGATACTGAGGACACAGATAAACCTCCAAGTGGCCTCAATGACTCTCCAAAGCCGTGATTATGACATGTGTTCCACAGGTGGCATGCAGCACCCTCTCTGTGGGCACACAAGCCGTCGCTCCACTTCAGCTCTGCCACGCATCCTCCCGCTGGCCAGTGGGTCTCTGTTGTGCATGTGCGGGGGGGTGCATGTGCATGCGTGAGGGTGGGCCATGTGCGTGGGGCCGCATGTGTGCGCGTGGGGGAGTGGGGCATGGGGGGCCCATGCGCACATGCACAGGAGTCAGGACACATGCACGGGACCACACGCGCATTGCATTTGGGGGGTTCGGACACGCACTCGCTTTGGGCACTTGGTCTGGAAAAGGTTAGCCATCCCTGCTCCAAAGAATGCAAATGACCAGCTGTCTGCGAGGAATAGAAATCCTTCCCTTCCCCACCATCCGGTCAGAGCTGAAGAAGCTTCTTGGATGAGAAGTGAAACGCCTTCATAGAAAAACCAAAAAGTTCAGCTGCCTCTTGGAAAAAAAACAAAAAACACCTTTGGGTCAGAGCTCAATTGTAGGGAGAGATGGTAGCCCAGAAAGGCCCAAGTACTTCCAATGGTCATTTTCTTGGCCTGGAAGGATGCGTATGGGCTTGTCCGTTACAGTGATATCTCAGTTACTGTTAGCGATTTGTTCCTGGGAAAGACACAAACTGACGTGTAGCAAGGAAACCACATGACCTGCCATTTTGGCTGGAAGAAATAGTAGTGAGCCACGAGGCAGCTGACGTCAGCCAGTTCTTCCTTGCGCATCGACTACCAGGAAAGAAATGAGTGGCCGGACAAGATTTCTGCTTCAAAACACATCGAATGCTGAATTCAAAGAGTTTTGAAGCAGTCCAAGTACGACTGTATACAAATTCTATCCTGGTTTACAAATGTAAGCTTGCCAAACAGACCTTCAGTTTTTATTGGTTGAGGGGGACGAGAGGAAAGCAAAAGAGACTCGGTTGTCCCACAGGTATTTTTTTCCAAAAAGCAATTGGACTTTCTTGATTTTTTTTTTCTTTGAAAACGTTTCACTTTTCACCCAAGAAACAACTTCTTCAGAACTGAAGAAGGTTCTTGGATGAGAAGCCAATGTGGCTGGCTGGGAGATTCTGGGAGTTGGAAGTCCACCCTCAAGATACCAAGGTTAGAGAAACACTGTGTCAGGCTCTGGAAGCCATCTTGGGGCATTGGATCTTCAGGCCTGCCACATTTAGTGCTGTGGGAAACCGGGAGGGGGGATTGTATGGAGCTGGGGGAAATATGTAGTCAAAATAACATTCCTTTCTCCGAGAGTCAAGGCCACTCTGCCCTGCACCTGGAGGGGTGTGACTGGGAGGCATCTCCAGTTGGGACGGTGCACTAGTTGGACAATGTTGTGAACATGTGGGTGCTGGAGCAGGGCTTTGGATTTTCTTTTGGGTGGGGAAAACCGGGAGCTTTCAGATTCGGGTTTTCCCAGATGTGCCAATATGACATCTCTAAATAAAATGGAACTTTGAGGAAACTCATGCCTTGGAGTTTTCTTTCACTGGGGTGTTACTTGGAACCCTGACACACTGTCCTAAGCAGTGTAATGGAATTTCAACTGCCATCTGATTCTGGTGCACGAACACTGGCACGCTATTTATTCATCTGTTTCTTGATTCAGCCACTCTCTCTGCCAGGTCCAGTATACGACTTACATATTTGACGTATTCTTTCCACTGCTGCCACCACTGCATTGCGATGAGAAACCAGTTGTGTCCTTGTTGAAGGCCATGTCTACTTTCACGTTCTAGCCAGCCTCTACACCAAGAAAACCAAGGAAGAGATAAATGGTGCAATACTTAACAACACTTGTGCTTCACATCTACACGAGCGTTCTTGACCTTGACAACATTAAGATGGGTGGACTTCAACTCCAAGAATTGAGCTAGCTTGGGGGAATTCATTCCTAGCTGGCTGGGGAATTCTGAGAGTTGAAGTCCACCCATCTTAACATTGCCAAGGTTAAGAAACAGTCTAAGGGACATGGTGATGCAGCGGCTTAATGATGCTGGAACTGCATTCTAACCGTTCGAGCTCAGCTCCGCAAGATGGGGTGAGCTCCTGCCATTTGCTCCTCAGCTCCTGCCAACCTAGCAGTTCGAAAGCATGCAATACTGCAAGTAGATAAATGGGTAGCAATAGCAATAGTACTTAGACTTATACACTGCTTCCCAGTGCTTGACAGCCCTCTCTAAGCAGTTTACAGAGTCAGCCTCTTGCCCACAACAATCTGGCTCCTCATTCCATCCTCGGAAGGATGGAAGGCTGAGCCAACCTTGAGCCTGGTGAGATTTGAACGACCAAATTGCAGGCAGCCAGCAGGCAGCAGAAGTAGCCTGCAGTACTGCACTCTAACCACTGCGCCACCAAGGCTTCGCCATTGCGCCACCAAGGCTTTGCCACTTCCTATTTCTTCAATAAGAAAAACCTAGCCACATTCGTGTGTGCGGAGAGTGGACCTGGCCGAATGTGAGGCAATGTGACATGAGGCGAGGCGAGACTGGCAGAGGAGCCCGGAAGAGCCAGCGACCCGAGGACCGCTAGTCAGCTGGTGTAAACTAGTTCTCCCTCTGCAGTGCACCAAGGATAGGCATACAAGTGCTGAACGCAATAAACTAGCAATATAGGATGTCAGGATTGCATTGTGTCTTTTATTTGTAGATTTTGCTGACATTGTATGCCATACACTAAACACATAACATGAGAAACACTGGTCTACAAAGTGTCTAACTCCTTCTAGGTTGCCTTATTAAATGTATCTGGAGTTTAGGAAACAAAGTTTTTTAGGGTGTTTATAGCAATTTGCAAGCCACTGTCAGAATGAAGCTGTCAAATAAAAACTTCTGGAAGAGCAACCATGTTAGCATCTTCAACATCAATGCCGTTCTTACAAATGTATTACTTTCACATTACAATTATTTCACGTTGAATTGAATACTTTATTGGGCAAGGAATTTTTCTCTGGGGTTGCAGTTCTCAGTGTATATGCAAAGCAACAGAATAATGATAAACATCATCGTAATAATGCCAATAGGAGGAGGGTAGTAAAGAAGCTATTAAAAAGGATAAATAATAATCCTACAGCCATATTACATGGGTAAATAGAGTACTCATTGTTAATTGGTTTCGGGAGGGGCAATGAGCACCAAAAACGATGCGTACCAAACCATTTTTTCCCATAAGGAACAATGTAGCAAGTTCTAGCTTGTATGTTAAGTACCAAACAAATGATGAGTATCGGGGACAAAATTTTCGCCACAAAATGCGTTTGCGTACCAAATTTGATGAGTTTCGCAGCAGTTGAGCACCAAGGTACCACTGTACACATAGACACTGGACATAATTCGCCGGGCTAAATTCCATTGCATCAAAACTAACAATACCATCAAGAATCACAGGGCTGTATCAATATAGTTTGGGGAGAGAGGAGGGAACGTAAGCAGAAGAAAACGAAATTCACAGGGTACAGAAAGTGGTACTTATGTTGTTCACAGTGGCCATTTGCATGACAGTGATTACAAAGGCATCCGGGCACTGACGAGATAATGAACATATACGCCAGATAAAATCTTCCTCCTGATTCAGGAACTAGTAATCTGACTGAATTTCGTGACGATTGTGCTCTTTTAACTACAATAGGTTGGTGGCTGGAATGGAGAAAAATGTTTTTTTCTTTATCACGTATCTGCCTATTAGCCCGGTAGTGCTGGAATGCCATTGTTAGAGCCTTTAACAACTAATTGTTGAAAGTGTACCTTGACAATAGAATTAATTCTAGCTGCCCTTTGTGCATTTCATTTCAATTCTGACCTCATTGTCCCCAATCCCCGTGTATTATTCTTTGTGTGTGAGAGAGAGGGTGGGGGAGGAAAGGGAGGGAGGGAAGAGAGAGAGAGAGAGAGAGAGAGACAAAGATGTGTGTGTGTGTGTGTGTGTGTGTGTATGTGTGTCTATATGTAGGTCTTTGGTTATTCGGGTTTTCTCCCACGTAAAATTGGAAGTGTCTTGGCGACGTTTCGACGAAGTCTCATTCGTCATCTTCAGGCTTCGTGCTTCTAGGAGCAATGTGTGATCGCAGCTGTTTCTTCCTTTTACTCATGAAAACCACACAGGATGTCACCACCACACATCCACGCAAAAAGCAAACCCACACCGATGAGGCACGACCACAAACCAGAAGCCAGACCACAGCTGCATCATTAGCCACTTTAAACTCCTCCAATCCATACATGAAGCAAACTGACACCCACCATGAAGATGTGGCACGACCACGAATGCGAAGCCAAACAACAGCAACGCAGCTCACCAGCTCAAATCCCTCTGCAACTCAGACTAACCCGAGCACAACCAAGCCCCCACCTAAACAGAACACACCCCCATCCAATCAGAGCACAACCAACTCCCCATCCAATCAGAGCACAGCCAAACCCCCAACCAATCAGTTCATACCCCCACTGGTAGTTAAAAGAAAGAAACAGCTGCGATCACACATTGCTCCTAGAAGCACGAAGCCGAAAACACCAGCCTGAAGATGATGAATGAGACTTCATCGAAACGTCGCCAAGACACTTCCAATTTTACGCGGGAGAAAACCCGAATAAAAGTTTTGGTGTATTCGGGTCTTTTCCCATGTAAGATTGAGAGTATTTTGGCGACGTTTCGATGAGGTCCCACTCGTCATCTTCAGGCTGGTGTCTTCGGCTTCGTGCTTGTGTGAGGAAAACATGATTGGAGCTGCCGTTTCTCTATAAATACTGGTGGGGAGGTGTGGGGTGCTGGCTTTGATGCTGTGAGCGGGTTGGTTGCCTGTGTTGCTACATCCTGATTAGTTGACGGAGTTGATGTTTGCAGATTAGTCAGCTGTTTTGTAACATCTTGTGTGGGTGAGGTCCTTGATGTGTGCCCATTAGTCTTTTGTGTTTTAACGACCTGGGCAATGGGCTCTGTGTTAACATCCTGAGTTCTAGTGTTGTGATATCCTGAGTTTTTTTATGTAATGTCCTGAGCAGATGGCTGTGATGCCACATCATGGGCTTTGGTTTGGCTCCGAGTTTGAGGTCTTGCCATGTGTTCATGGCGTGTGTCAATTCGCTTTGTGTGGGGATCGGAGGGGGGTGCAGCAGCTGGTGATGCCGCCATGGTCTATATACAGTATATCACAGAAGTGAGTACACCCCCTCACATTTTGTAAATATTTAAGTATATCTTTTTATGTGACAACACTGAAGAAATGACACTTGGCTACAATGTAAAGTAGTGAGTCTACAGCTTGTATAACAGTGTAAATGTGCTGTCCCCCCAAAATAACGCAACACACAGCCATTAATGTCTAAACTGCTGGCAACAAAAGTGAGTACACCCCTAAGTGATAATGTCCAAATGGGGCCCAAAGTGTCAATATTTTGTGTGACCACCATTATTTTCCAGCACTGTCTTAACCCTTTGGGACAATTTTGATCATATGACCAGGAGGATGCTGCGACACTCTGTGAGGACTGGTCGTAAGTTACTTGTTCAGTGCTGCTGTAACTTCCAACAGTCACTAAATGAACGATTGTAAGTCGAGGACTTCCTGTAATCCGTAAACCATGTTTTATGGCTTAATATTCTGAGAAGCCAACCCTCTACGATTTTTCCAACAAAACAAGCGCTAAAGCAAACCATGGCATAGAATTCACGAACCCAGCTCCTGCGTTTCAAGAAAACAGGATTCCTAGCTTGCTGCGTGAAAGGAAGAGCAGGACACCCTTTTTTAAAGTGTCAAATTCAAGGCCCATGGGCCGGATCTGGCCCATGGGGTGCTTATATCTGGCCCACGGGGCACCCTGGAAATAGCGAGGGAACGGCCCATGGTGCCCTTGCCAGTGAAAACGGGCTCCCGATCACCGTTTTCGGCTGGGACAGTCTCCTGCAACCCTCTGCCGGTGAAAACGGAGCTCAGGAGGGCCGTGTGTGGCCCTCCCGAGCTCCATTTTCACTGGCAGAGGGTTGCAGGAGGCCGAGCTGAGCCGAAAACGGTGATCAGGAGCCCGTTTTCGTTGGCAGACCACTTGGGCCACCACAGATGCCCCTGACATGAGTGACGGCAAGCTGGCCACACCCACCCTGGCCACACCCACTCCAGCCCCCCAAGGTCAAACACAACCCTCATGCAGCCCTCAATAAAATTGAGCTTGACACCCCTGATCTAGTTGAACCCCTTTCTCTTGGTCCCAAACTGGAGAAAGCACATTAAATCCTGATGCATCTTATTTCTTCCAAGCCCTTGATGGGTGGAAAGCGAAGACGTCACCTTGCTTAAGTCCTTTGCTCCAAAACGCACATCTTATTTTCAGCTAGGGAAAAAGTCTCCGGGATTCATTTGAAAGGTGATGTCAGAAGATCAAACGTACCTAATGATTTGCCCTTCATCTCCTGGAGTGGCAGGTCTTAAACCTAAGACTATATGGCACACCTAAAAAAAAAAGAGATGGGAGTGAAAAAGGTGAGAAAATGTACTTTTTCCAGACAAAAGGCCATAAAGTTAACAAGTTATTCTTCTTGGTCAGATAATGTTTGAACATCTACTTTCTATAGGCAGCCCTCGACTTACGACCATGATTGAGCCCGACATTTCTGTTGCTAAGCGAGACAGTTAAGTGAGTGTTGCCCCATTTTACCACTTTTCCTGCCACTGCTGTTAAGCGAATCACTGCGGTTGTTAAGTTAGTAACACGGTTGGGAAGTGAATCTGCTTCCCCGTTGAGTTTTTGCTTGTCAGAAGGTCGCAAAAGATGAATGACGTGACCCCGGGACACTGCAACTGTCATAAATACTGTATGAGCCAGTTGCCAAACATCTGAATTTTAATCATGTGGCCATAAATGCATGGCACAACAAACCCATCAGGACAAGATTCAGCAATCCATCTGCATTGAAAAGACACAGGGCGCTCTTTTGAGGACAGCAAAGTCCACATTTTGGACAGAGAGACCCACTGGTTTGAAAGAGGGGTCAAAGAGGTCATCTGTGTCCAAATTGAGCAGCCCTCTCTCAACAGAGGGGGAAGGATATGCCATCATCTATCTCCAGTCCACAACACGGTCCGTTCAGCAGTTCCAAGAAGGCGCCACACCCATTTGAACCATTCAGGTGACCCTGAGGACACACACAAACCTCCAGGTGAAGATGTTTTGCTTATCATCCAAGAAGCTTCTTCAGCTCTGACTGGATGGTGGGGAATGGAAGGATTTATACTCCTTGCAAGGCAGCTGATCATTTGCATAGGTAAAGGTAAAAGGTAAAGGTTCCCCTCCACATATGTGCTAGTCATTCCCGACTCTAGGGGCTGGTGCTCATCTCTGTTTCAAAGCTGAAGAGCCAGCGCTGTCCGAAGACGTCTCCATGATCATGTGGCCGGCATGACTCAATGCCAAAGGCGCACGGAACGCTGTTACCTTCCCACCAAAGGTGGTCCCTAATTTTTCTACTTGCATTTTTTACGTTCTTTTGAACTGCTAGGTTGGCAGAAACTGGGACAAGTAATGAGAGCTCACCCCGTTACGCGGCACTAGGGATTCGAACCGCTGAACTGCCGATCTTTCGATCGACAAGCTCAGCGTCTTAGCCACTAAGCCACCATGTCCCTTCTAAGCCACTGCATCCCTTATTTGCATAACAACTGGCTAAAAGGATGCAAATGACCAGCTGTCTGCAAAGAATATAAATCCTTCCATTCTCCACCATCCAGTCAGAGCTGAGGAAGCTTCTTGGATGAGAAGCCAAACGTCTTCAAGGAAAACCCAGAAAGTCCAGTTGCCTCTTGAACAAAAAAAAAGCACCTTTGGGACATATGACTGTCATAAATGTCAGTGGCCAAGTGCCTGAATTTTGATCACGTGACCATGGAGATGCTGCGACAGTTCTAAGTGTGAAAATCAGTCATAAGTCTCTTTTTTCAGTGTCGTCGTTAACTTCAAACGGTCCCTAAACAAACTATCGTTAAGTCGAGGACTATCTGTGGAAGCTGTCAGGGTTCCTACGGATGCCCTAATTAAATCATGAGCCTCGAGCCAAGCATTCTCACATTCTCCAACGGAGCACTTTCGCGGGCTGTAGAGATCACGCCCCTCCGGCTGTTTCAGGTAACCTGGGATACAACCTGGGATACAGCATACACAGTATGCGTGGAATGTGCTTCTGGTTGTGGCTGCCATGCTGCTCCGGCAGTTTTCTCCCTTCCTGCCTATGGCAACTCGAGAGCAGGCCAGGGATGCTTTGTGAGTTGACAGAAAACATTTTCCTATTCAAGTTAAAACGTTTGTCCAGAGCTGACTGAAGCTATCCGCCGATAATTCAGACATTGTGCCAAATCAGAGTTTCTGCTTTCAGGATCGAATCATCATTTCAGAGCAGGTTTCATTTCCCATCCTTATCAGTATGCTAAATGTCTCTATATTGCAGCCTTCTCTGGAAAAGGAGGCCCCGGCTGTTAACACTGGATTTTATCTTTATTTACCTGCCAACTGCACTGAGTAGATTAAATGCATACACTGGCTGTGGTTTGCAAGAATTCTGGCATCTAAAGCTGCAGCTCAGCATGTACAGGCGTAACCTTATTCTACCACTTGCCAAATGGGCTGCTCAGCCCAGTTTGAAGAGCCCAGGTAAGAGTTATGCCGCTGAACACCTCCACATTCTTGTTCATCTTGCAGAATATCTTTTTTCCCCATTCAAAACGAAACGATAATTTTTGCTCTTTAAGGTCTTGCAAAACAACAACACAATGTGAGCTAACTATGCTGGGCACTATTATTATTTTGAACAGTCACTAAATGAATGTTTGTTAAGTCGAGAGTACTTGTATTATTTTATTCCTCTCTTTCTCTCTCCCCCTCCCTGCCTCCCTCCCCCCCCCTCTCTCTCCTCTCTCTTTCTCTCTCTCCTACCTACCTCAAAATAGCAAACACATCCAACACTTCTGCCTATTTTCCCCATAACAACAACCCTGTGAAGTGAGATGAGAGAAAATGACTGGCTGAAAGTTCCCAAGATGGCTTTCATGCCTAAGTAGGACTACAACTCACTGTCTCCTGTTTTCCAGACTACCATCTTAACTACTCCACCAAATTGGCTGATATGAGCCAGGCAAAAGAGAAGCATCTCGGCAAAGCTGACACTTCCAAAAACAGCAAGAAAAACCCAGACATCTCCAGGAATGTAACTGACATAAGAGCTGATGCAGCCTTTGGCATCCCATGACTGCAAAGCAGGCAGGTAAATCCAAGGCTTGCCTTCTACTGGAGGTTCGGATTTGCAGGAAACGTACCTGAAAAAGCAGGTTCAGAAATTCGTTGGCAAGGGCGCTCTTCACACTCCAGATCTGATAATCCTCAAGGGTGAGATGACCAAGCTGAAGGGAGGAGGAGGAAGGAAGGAAGGAAAATCAATGAGGGTTTTTCCCCCAAAGTGTTTGCTCAATTGGGGTCATTCTCTCTCTTCTCCTCTCCCTCTCTCTTCCCACCTCTTCCCCCTCTCCTCCTCTCTCTCTTCCTCTTCCCACTTCTTCCCCTTCTTCTCCTCCCTCTCCCCCTCTTCCCACCTTTTCCCCTTCTTTCCTCTCCCTTTCCGCCTCTCTCCCTCTCTCTTCTCCTCTCTTCCCTTCCTCTCTTCCCTTCCCATCTTTCCCCCCCTCTCCTCCTCCCTCTTCCTCTTTCTCCCTCTTCCTCTTCCCTCTCTCTTCCCACCTCTTCCCCCTCTCACTCTCTTCCCTCCCTCTCTTCCCTTCCCACCTCTTCCTCTCTTCCTCCCTCTCCCCCTCCTCTTCCACTTCCCACCTCTCTTCTCCCTCTCTCTCTCTTTCCCCCTCTCCTTCTCTCTCTTTCCCCTCTCCCCCCTTCTACCTCTCTCTTCCCACCTCTCTCTCTCACACACACTATCTCTCCCATGCAAACTGAAATGGATATTTTAAGGAAAATAAAGAAAAGCTTTGACCAAAAATCAATCTGTTCTATCTGTAGATCTGAAGCTGGTTTTGATCAATTAATAGTGATGATTTCCCTGGAGAATCACAGATCTGCAACTACTCTCAATAATTTTGATTTTTCTCAGGGAAAACTATTCATCCAGGTTTTTCTAGCTGAAAGCCATGTTTTTTTAATAAAGTTTTTTTTTTAATTTTTTCCTGAAGATAAAATACAAAATACAGATTGAAAAAAAAAACAAGATTTACAAAGAAGAAACAAAAAGGAGAAGAAAAAAGGGTATATCATAGATGTAAAATTAATAATAAACACATAACCTCCATCCCGGTTGAATGCTGACACTTGTATCTCAAATAAATCTAATCGGTTTCCCCTCCTTGCATTGCAGGTCGACAAATAGTTATACATTTTCCTCCTGTGTTGCTAAATTACTATTTTACATCACATTCTCTTAACAAATATTCCAAATATACAAATCTATTGTCTGTCAATCAAGTAGACCCAATGCCAGTTGAACAGGTTTTATGTAGATAGGCCGTCACACTGGAGATAAGTTTCGTTGAATTATGATCAGGACTAGATTTTATGGATGATGATGAGTTTCAGAGGAACTATTCCCGCTGAAATTTTGGGGTAGTTTTGTAGAGGTACTTAATAGCCAGAACAAAGGTAACTGGTTGACTATCATCTGAAATTGAAAAATTGTAGAATTAAAAAAAAAAAGTGGGGGGGATGTTTTGATACTTTAATATCTTAAATAGCTCTTCATCTTCTTCTTGTGCCATATCCGTCAACGGACGTTGGCAATGATGTTGGCGATCCTATTTTAATCAATAGCCGCACGAAAAAGTGCTGTTGAGTTTTATCCAAACCGGTCGCTTAGATTTTGAAGCCATGATGTTCTGCCTGGACCTCGTTTGCCTTCAATCTTAACTTGGAGGATTAAGTGCCTTGGTAGTACAGGGGTTTAAGGCACCCTATTATTAAGCTGGTTATTAAGACCAGCTGCCTGCAATTACTGCAGGGTTCGAATCTCGCCAAGGCTCAAGGTTGACTCAGCCTTCCATCCTTTCTAAGGTAGGTAAATTGAGGACCCAGTTGTGGGGGCAATAAGCTGACTTTGTATAAAATATACAAAAGTATGGAGGCTATTGCTTAACGCCTTGTAAGCCGCCCTGAGTCTCCGGAGAAGGGCGGCATATAAATAAATAAATAAAAATAAAAAAATTCTCCAGGGAAAGATTGAAGACAAATGAGGTCCAGGCAGAAGAACATAATGGCTTCAAAACCTAAGGGACTGTTTTGGACAAAACTCAGCAGCAATTTTTCATGCAGCTGTTGACAAAAACAGGATTGCCAACATGATCGCCAACGTCGGATAACAGATATGGCACAAGAAGAAGAAGAAGAAGTTGAATTCTAGCCACTGTGCCATCACTGCGCTCCTAACCTTTCTCATATTCAGGAGCTTAGGAGAATGTTAGTAGAACAGCGAAAGCCCAGCAGATGGAACGGACCAATTTTTAAAACATATTTAACAATCATTGTTTTATAATTTTACTACGGGTGAAAACAGCGAGTGTAATTGCATCTGTTAGCTCAGTGGATTTCTGCCACCATATACGGTAGGTAATGCAGAATAAATGAAAGTAAATAGATGATCTCTTTTAATGCTTTTTATCCTCTTCGGCTTCTTTCTGGAAAGGATACCATGCACATCAATTTCACAGTAAACAGACCTTCCACGCACGAGTTAACTCAAGCAGCTTGGCTCAGCCTCACTGTGGCCCAACTCAGAGGTCATTTCAGTTTCTTGAAGCTATTTCTGCACCGATTTCTCGAGTCGCACAATAAGGGATAATGAGATGCAGGTGCCCTTTCTTACCTTGGTAGTGTCATGTGACTTTAGAATATCTTCTACAATATCAGGCAAATTCATGTGCAGCTCCTTGGGGGGAAAAATAAGAGAAGAACAGGAAGATCCCATGAAAGTTAAGAATCTTATTCCGAGGGTTATTTTGGTCTAGGTATATAGTCCCCAAAAGTAAGAATGCTGGGTTGAATCCACAGAGCACAGATCCGCTAAAATCAATGAGCTTTAAATGAGCTGCAAATGACCTGCCCCACTGATTTTAGCTGGTCTGATCCATGACAGATCAAATCTGGAATTCAGTTATTAATGTTGAATGCCACTTACTGGAATGTTATCAATACGATTATCTTTCCAAACTTCCAGAAGGGCCACGACCATTTCTTCGAGTTCGACCTTAGACAGAACCCCGTCTCGATCAACGTCGAAAACCTTGAAGCAAACTGAAAGAGACAGAAATGGTTATTCTATAACAGAACGAAAAAGCTGATGATGACTCAAAAGATTTTGAAGGCTGAGATGAAACCAAAACTGAATTTTTTGGTGGTGGCGGGGGGGGGGGGGAATTAATGGATAGTCAATTAGACAAGACGTAAAACACTGGTTTTATATGCGGGAACTGCAGCAAGATTCTTGTACGCACAAAGATCAAAAAATGCTGAAAATGCCCATAATGAGCCTTGGTGGCGCAGCAGACTAAAGAGCTATTAAGTAGCACCAGCTGCCTGCAATTACTGCAAGTTGAAATCTCACCAGGCTCAAGCCTTCCATCCTTCCGAGGTAGGTAAAATGAGGACCCGGATTGTGGGGGCAATAAGCTGACTTTGTATAAAAAAGAACACCGCTTGGGGGGCGGGGGGGGCGAAAGCCCTATTAAGCAGGTATATACAAAAGTAGGAAGGCTATTGCTTAACGCACTGTAAGCCGCCCTGAGTCTCCAGACAAGGGCGGCATATAAATCGAACCAATAAATAAATAAATAAATAAATAATGAAGGAATGGATTGTGAAGACGGCAGAATTAGCAGAGACGGCAAAACTGACCTGAAAGATTGAATAGGGGGCTGAAGGGATCATTGTAATCTTAAGGAGCGATGAGGGATAATCAGTTTGTTTACAACTGCTTTAAACAGCTTCTTTTATTTATTTATTTGTTTGTTTGTTTGTTTTATTTTTATTCATCTGGCTGAGTCGGCAATGAAGCACGATAATAGTCATCTTGAGATTTAACTATTCCTCTAAATGAAAACCCCTTTTTTGGCTTTCAAACCTGAGTTAGCAATTGTCCACTTTCTCAGATGCAATGGGAAAGTAGCCCGGGAAACTTACAGTTGACAAGAGACACAAAAGACGAGTGTTCAAAGAGGAGAACTTGAGTAACTAGAAAGTTCAGATTGGTGTAGAGCAGTGACGGCTAACCTTTTCGGCACTGAGTGCCGAAACTGGATCGCGTGCGCACGCCGGAGCAGCAGAACCTGGAAGACAGCAGCTGTCTGGCGTGCATGTGCGCAACGGAACCCGGAACAGCAGCTGGCGAGGGTGCGCGTGCCCACAGAGGGGGCTCTGCATGCCACCTTTGGCATAGGGGCCATAGGTTCGCCATCATGGGTGTAGAGTTTAAGGTGCTGGATTAGAAACTGGGAGACAGTTGAGTTCTAATTCCGCCTTAGGCATGAGAGTCATTGGATGATTTTGGGCCAATCACCAGGAGACGGTGAGTTCTAGTCCCACCTTAGGCATGAAAGTCACTGGGTGATTTTGGATCGATCACCAGGAGATAGTGAGTTCTAGTCCCGCTTTAGGCATGAAAATCACTCAGTGATTTGGAGCTAATCACCAGGTGATGGTGAGTTCTAGTTCTATTTTAGGCTTGAAAGCTGCTGGGTAACTTTGGGCCAATCACCAGGAGAGGGTGAGTTCTAGTCCCGCCTTAGGCATGAAAGTCATTGGGTGATTTTGGACCAATCACCAGGAGACGGTGAGTTCTAGTCCTGCCTTAGCAGAGGTGAGTTTCAGCAGGTTCTGACCAGTTCTGGAGAACCGGTAGCGGAAATTTTGAGTAGTTCAGAAAACCGGTAGTAAAAATTCTGACTGGGCCCGCCCCCATCTATTCTCCGCCTCCCAAGCCCCAGCTGATCGGGAGGAAATGGGGATTTTGCAGTATCCTTCCCCTGGAGTGGGGCGGGAATGGAGGTTTTACAGTATCCTTCCCCTGCCACGCCCACCAAGCCATGCCACGCCCACCAAGCCATGCCACGCCCACCAAGTCACACCCACAGAACTTGTAGTTAAAATTTTTTGAAACCTATCACTGTGCCTTAGGTATGAAAGCCATTGGGTGATCTGGGGCTAATCACCAGGAGGTGGGGAGTTCTAGTTCTGCTTTAGGCTTAAAAAGCTGCTGGGTAATTTTGGGCCAATCCCTCTCTCTCAGCCCAGCCACCTAGCGATGAAGCTGGGTCGTTGTTATGGGGAAAATAGCAGAAGGGAGCATTATGGATGCTATCTTGAGTTTAGTGCAGACACTGGAAAATTTGTGGGAGAGAATAGCTGCAAGCAGGGCATAGTTAAAAGGAGTCACAAGAGACTTTTCTGAAGAGTGGCCTCCATTAGAGGGAGGAAATCTATTTCAGAGAGCGAAGGGACAGAAATACACCAGCACCAGAGATGCAATAAACGATATAATCTGTTTACTCTTCTTTTTCCAAAGAGCAAATATTGGCATTTGCAGCACACGGGCTCTCCACATACTCCATCCACGTAGACACAAATGTCAATGCCGTAAACAGAGCTAACTGTCTGCGCTTATGAATATTTTATTAAAGAGAAATTAAAATCCAGCCAAAAAACTTAAGAAATGGAGGAGGGGGGTGGGGTTATCGACTACCAATGAACCAGACAACCTCTTCTAGAAAATTGATAACAATTGACATCAAATGAGAGTAACTCACAATAATATATTGAATTAATAGAGCTGGGAGATGAGTAGGAATTAGCTTTTAAAAGCCCTCATTCCAAAACCATCATGGGAGATTATATTTCCTTAATGTGTGCATGCACCCATAGAGGAAAGAATAACAATAAAGGGAGGGAAAAACACAGAAGCCTTAAAATGCAGATTAGGGAGCCGATGTAGAAAGCTTTGCCCCCGCCCCGCAGCAAAAAAGAAGAAAAAATCTGTAGGCAATAAACTTAGCTCTGTTTTCACATATTATCCCTACAGAGCCAGGACTGATCAACCTCTACATCGCTGTGTTTCTCAACCTAAACAACGTTGAGATGAGTGGACTACAATTCCCAGAATTCCCCAGCCAGCTTGCTCCCAGAATGCATGCTGGCTGGGGAATTCTGGGAGTTGGAAGTCCTCCCAGCGTAAAGTTGCCGAGGTTTGAGAAAAAACCTGTTCTATGTACCCAGGAGGAAACGGCAGCAAATGTCAACCTCTTGGGGGGAAAAAAATGTATACCACATGTTTGTGTGTGCGTTTGTGTGTGCCATACAGATACTTTGACATTTGCAGGCCATAAAAGCAATAAAATCACAGAAAGAGCAAGACGAGCTTAGAGCCCATCAATAAATTCCACTCCTGTTATATTTGAGAGATGGTTCCCCAAAAGACACCAGCTCCAGAATGCCTCACAAAGACTCTGCCATAATCCCAGCATTGGGAAAATGGGTCGCTTAGGAATAAGGAGATTTTATTTATTTTTTTGCCAGTGAGAACAATTAATCAACGGAATACAGTAGCTTGCCTCCTTGGCTTGTGGGTGCTCCATCACTGGGGAGTTTCAAAAAATAGATTGGACAACTATGTAGCTGGGATGGTATCAGATTCCTGCCTTGGGAGGGGGTTGGGCTAAAAGAGAGGTCCCCAACCCCTGGGCCACAGCCCACGACTGGGTCTTGAGCAGTTTGGAACCAGGCTACGGAAGTGGACGGTAACAGAGCACATGCACATCCCCACTTGTGTGAGCAGTGGGCAAGCACATGTGCACGCTCTATTTGCATGAGTGACGGGTGGCCACAGCTCACAGCTCTCTGCCGGGGGAACTCTGGACTAGAAGACGTCCAAGGACCCTTCCAGGGGCCGTGTGTGTGTGTGTGTGTGTGTGTGTGTGTGTGTGTGTGTGTGTGTGAGAGAGAGAGAGAGAGAGAGAGAGGGAGGGAGAGAGAGGGAGAGAGAGGGAGAGAGAGGGAGGGAGGGAGGGAGGGAGAGGATAAATAGATTAGATTAGATAGATAGATAGATAGATAGATAGATAGATAGATAGATAGATAGATAGATAGATAGGCAGGCAGGCAGGCAGACATACAGACAGACAGACAGATAATGGATAATAGATAGATAGATAGATAGACAGACAGATAGATAGAGATAAGATAGATAGAAAGACAGACAGACAGTGACAGACAGACAGACAGACAGATAGATAATGGATGATAGATAGATAGATAGATAGATAGATAGATAGATAGATAGATCGATCGATAGATAGATAGATAGATAGATAGATAGATAGATAGATAGATAGATAGATAGATAGATAGACAGACAGATAGATGGATAGATAGATGGATAGATAAATATAGACAGACAGATAGATAATGGATAGTAGATAGATAAATAGACAGACAGACAGAGACAGACAGATAGATCATGGATAGTAGATAGATAGATAGATAGATAGATAGATAGATAGATAGATAGATAGATAGATAGATAGATAGATAGACAGATAGATAGATAGATAAGCAGGCAGGCAGGCAGACAGACAGACAAAGACAGACAGACAGACAGATAATGGATGATAGATAGACAGACAGACAGACAGACAGACAGAAACAGATAGATAGAGAGATAGATAAGTGATAGATAGATGATAGATAGGGATAGCTAGCTAACTAGCTAGATACCTAGATAGACAGACAGACAGATAGAGAGGGGGAGAGGGAGAGAGAGGAGCCCGGCTCGGGCAGAGAGGAGAACTGGGACACGCAAAAGACAGGCCAGAGCGCAAGCAACCCTTGTGCAAGTGTGGGCCAGTGCGCACATACACAGCTCCACTTGTGCGATTGGCGGGCCAGTGCCCACATGCCTCCTGGCCCACCACACAAACGTGCGAGTGACTGCCGGCCTGTCACTCACGTTGAGTTCTGCATGCACATTTGCGTAGTCCAGTCGGTCTCTAGTGTGGCCCCCAATTCCGAATAAGATCGTTGCCCTTGAAGTGATGTCCCAGTGCCTGGAGGCCGTGCGGGCCTGGATGGGGAGGAACAGGCTCCGACTCAACCCCTCCAAGACCGAGTGGCTGTGGCTTCCAGCGTCCTGATATAGCCAGCTGACGCCATCGCTGGCTATTGGGGGCGAATTACTCGCCCCCACGGAGAGGGCTCGCAACTTGGGCGTCCTCCTGGACGCACGGCTGTCTTTAGAAGAGCATTTGACGGCCGTGGCCAGGGGGGCTTTTTATCGGGTTCGCCTGATACGCCAGTTACGCCCCTTTCTAGATCGGGACTTCCTACGCACAGTTACTCAGGCACTCATCACTTCCCGCCTGGACTATTGCAACGCTCTCTACATGGGGCTCCCCCTGGGGTGCAACCGGAGGCTCCAGCTGGTCCAGAACGCGGCCACGCGGGGGATTATGGGGGCGACGAGGCGCTCCCATGTGACACCTCTCCTGCGCGAGCTGCACTGGCTCCCGGTGGTCTTCCGGGTGCGCTTCAAGGTGTTGGTGACCACCTTTAAAGCGCTCCATGGCTTAGGGCCGGGGTACTTACGAGACCACCTTCTGCCACCAATAGCCTCCCACCGGCCAGTACGCTCGCACAGAGTGGGCCTCCTCAGGGTGCCGTCCGCCAGACAATGTCGGCTGGCGACTCCCAGGGGGAGAGCCTTCTCTGTGGCAGCGCCCACCCTCTGGAACGACCTCCCCCCAGAGATACGTACAATAACAGACCTCCGGATTTTTCATCAGGCCCTGAAGACCCATTTATTTCAACTAGCTGTGCTGGCTTGAGTTAAATTTTAAATTGATTTTAAATTGGGTTGTTTTAATTTACGGCCAAAATATTTTAAACTGCTTTTAAATTTTGTATGCTCTGTTTTTACTTTGGCTGTGCACCGCCCTGAGTCCTATTTGGAGAAGGGCGGTATAGAAATTTAATTTAATAATAATAATAATAATAATAATAATAATAATAATAATAATAATAATAATAATAATAATAATAATAATAATAATAAATAATAATAATACATGGCCTGGGGGTTGGGGACCCCTGTAGTAACCAGTAAACCAGTAACCAGAAAAAAGCAAGCCCCCCACTCTCTTCTAGCACTGATAATGTAACCTAGTCTGGGTAATGGCTTAGGACCCGGGTACTTATGGGACCGCCTGCTGCCACCAGTAGCCTGTCACCGCCAGTACGCTCTCACAGAGAGGGACTCCTCAGGGTGCCGTCGGTCAAACAGTGTCGACTGGAAGCCCCCAGGGGGAGAGGCCTTCTCTGTGGGGGCACCTGCTATATGGAATGAGCTCCCCCCGGAGATACGGAGGATCCCGGATTTACGCACCTTCCGCCGCGCTCTCAAGACCTTTTTATTCCATCAGGCTGGCCTGGCCTAACCTCACTTTTTAATTGTAAATTTTAAATTTGTCTAAAACTTTAGGGGTGTTTTAATCTGTTCTGGGCCTGCCTATCTATCTATCTATCTATCTATCTATCTATCTATCTATCTATCTATCTATCTATCTATCTATCTATCTATCTATTATTTTATTTATTTATTATTTTATTTATTATTTTATTTATTATTTTATTTATTATTTTATTTATTTATTTATTTATTTAATTATTTATTATTTATTTATTTATTTGGCTTATATGCCGCCCTATCTCACAATGGACTCAGGGCGGCTCACAACAATAAAACACAAGCCACAATAAAAATAAAGACTAAAATCTAAAAAATTTAAAATTAATCCATTAAAACCCTTAAAACCCCGTCATCAGACCAGGTCAAGGGATTTGAAAAGCCAAGTTTTTAATTCCCGGCGGAAGGTGCGAAGGTCAGGCGCTAGTCGGAGCTCCAAGGGGAGTTGATTCCAGAGGGTGGGCGCCCCAACCGAGAAGGCTCTACCCCTGGAGGCCACCAGCCGCCACTGTCTAGCCGACGGCACCCTGAGTAGGCCCTCTCTATGGGCGCGAACCGGGCGATGGGATGTTGTTGCTGGCTGTAGGTGGTCCGCCAAATATCCTGGTCCTAAGCCATGTAGGGCTTTATAGGTCAACACCAGCACCTTGAATCTCACCCGGAGGGCAACCGGTAGCCAATGCAAACCGCGCAGGAGGGGTGTAACATGGGAGTATCGGGATTCTCCCATCACAACCCACGCGGCTGCATTTTGCACCAGCTGAAGCCTCTGAATGGTCCTCAAGGGCAGCCCCATGTAGAGAGCGTTGCAGTAGTCAATCCGTGAGGTGACCAGCACATGAGTAACTGTGCGTAGGGCATCTCGGTCCAAGTAGGGACGCAACTGGCGCACCAGACGCCAGTTAATTAGGTTTTTTATACTGTTTTTAAATTTTGTAATCTGTGTGTTTTATCTCTTGGCTGTTCACCGCCCTGAGTCCTTCGGGAGTAGGGCGGGATATAAATCTAATAAAATAAAATAAAATAAAAAATAAATAATGAAACGCCTGCAAGAAAAATAACCAAGCTCAGAGGGTACTAAGGACCTCTCCCTAACCAGTAAAGGGTTGCTGTTATTTTAAATTCCCTGGGTCTCCATGCAGTCTAAAGAAGCGGTTATGCCTCTGCGCACGTGTGAAAGTGATTTGTGTGGCTGTTTTCCAGGGCTGAGGCTGTGCGAGTGAGTGATCCTAAGCGGAACCTGGGAGCACCTGTAACACCTGAAGGGGAGCCTGGGAAGCCATACTCACACTTCTGCCGTTCTGCCAGCGGCCCCCTGCAGCAAGCCGAGAGCCCGCACGAGATTTCCTTGAAGTCTATGTGATTGTCGCGGTTTTCATCAAAGGCGTTAAACAGGCCTGCAAAAGATCCCGAAGCAGCAGGCTGAGTTTGCGTCGGTTATAGAGAGCGCCCAATTTGTTCAATCAAGTCATGGTGTCAAGTTTCCGAAAGATGCCCTAATTAATTCATGAGCCATGATCCAAACTTCAAAGGAAATATAGTCATTTATTAGGAGCAACATTCCGGCAATACTGGGATGCAGTTAGGACTGATCCCACGTAGATTTACGTTCCCCATATGACCCTGTCTCTCCCCTCCTCTCTGGCCATGTCATAAATCACATTCTCCAATTCACCACTTTGGCTGGCTGTGAAACCTAACACCCTCCTTCTGATTGCGGTCAGAAAGAATGTATGGAATTCACTTCAGTTCTCCCTCCCTCCTGCTCATGGCAACTTGAAAGCTTTGCAAGTTGACACATGGTTTCATTAGCTGAGATTTCAGGTAGTCCTCAATTTACAATCATTTAGCAGCCGTTATTTTGACTACTTATCACCCATACTCTGTGCAATCCCCCCACCCATTTTCCCACAGTAGAAAATGTGGCAGGCCTGAAGGCCCAAATGTAAAAGATGGCTTCCAGGTCTGACACCTGTATGGAAAGAAACCCAAGAAGAGATTGATTATCAACTAACGTTACATACCTTCGCTCAGGGACGGATGGATCGGAGGGGAAACCAGGAGGCCAAACGTTTCCAGATCAAAACGGCCTGTTCTCGATTGAGCTTTCAGCAGCCAATAGCGTTTCTCAAGGTCGATGATGTCGGATTCTTCCACTGCATAAAAGCCAAGACGATCAAAGTCAGACAAATGAAAACGGTGCCTTTAAAGTCCAGCGGTGTTGTGTGTCAGCCACTTTACGCAGGCAGCAAGCTCAAAGGAATGATTCTGGGAATGCGGATAGTTTTATGGAACAAAGACCCTTAATGGGTGGTCTGTAGTGCAGAGGGACCAGATTTACTTACCACCATTCAATATATTGAACAGGCAAACAGCCTAGGGCAGTGATGGTTAAATTTATTTATTTATTTATTTTTATTTTTATTATTTTTATTTTTTATTTTTTTAAATTTCTATACCGCCCTACTCCTGAAGGACTCAGGGCAGTGAACAGCCAGAAGATAAAACACATAAATACAAAAATTTAAAATAGAATAAAAACGAATTAAATAATTTGGCTGAACAAATTTAAAATACCCCATAATTTAAAAACAGATTAAAATTTGCATTTAAAAAGGGGAGAAGATTTAGGCCAGGCCAGCCTGATGGAATAAAAAGGTCTTAAGAGCGCAGCGGAAGGTGCGCAGATCCGGGATCCTCCGTATCTCCGGGGGGAGCTCGTTCCAGATCGTAGGTGCCCCCACAGAGAAGGCTCTCCCCCTAGGGGCCGCCAGTCGACATTGTTTGTCCGACGGCACCTGGAGGAGCCCCTCTCTATGGGAGTGTACTGGCTGGTGGGAGGCTATTGGTGGTAGCAGGCGGTCCCGTAGATAACCAGGTCCTAAGCCATTTTGGTACTGAGTGCCCAAAGCACGCACGCACAAATGCATTCACACGTGCCCCAATCCCTGAAATGCAATGCAAGCGCCCCCTGTGCATTTGCTCTGGCCCCGTGCATGTTCCCCGAGTATGCGCCCCCTGGAGCATGCACTCCCCTGCCTCCCGTTTTGGCTTCCAGGTTGCTTTTCCTGAACTTCTGCTGCCCATGCCTTCCCCAATCTCCTCAGTTTCTCTCCCCAGCGTGCCCTAGCTTTCTCTTGCATTTCTGCCCCAGAGAGGCACCTGCGGAGGGTGGAACCTGCGGAGATAGGGTGGCAAAAATGCAGGAGAAAGCTAGCAGGAGAAACTGTGGAGATCAGGGAAGGCCCCGCGCACACGCGGCAGAGACCTGAAAACCAGCGGGCCGGTGGGAGGCGCGTGCGCCAGTGGTGGGTTCCTCCCGGTTCGGTCCGGCCGAGCCGGTAGTGGTGATGATATGACGTCACCGAACCGGTTCTCCCCCCTCCCCGCCCTTCCACCCCCCCACCCCCCACGTTATTCTTACCTTTTATTTGGCCCCACCCCCAATCTATTGCTGCCTCCTGAGTCCCAGCTGATGGCTAGAGGGAAAAAAACTGGTTTAAACTCTTGCCGCGGGGCTTCAAAGGGCCGCCCTACAGCTGATCAGTGTTAAAAGCAAACAAATGAGTCGGGTCGTAAGTGCGAGGACTGGTTGTAAGTGTGAGGACCTTCCAGAAATGACTCTGACCAGCTAGCCACGCCCACCTAGTCACATGACCTCCAAGCCACACCCACAAAATAAGCCACGCCCACAGAACCGGTAGTAAAAAAATTTAGAACCCACCCCTGGCGTGCACACGCATGTACAGTGAAACTCGGCTGGGTGACGGCTGGAGAGAGGGCTCTGCGTGCCACCTGTGGCACGTGTGCCACAGGTTCGCCATCACGAGCCTAGGGAAGTGATGGTGAACCTAGGACGCCTAAGGCAGCGAAAGTCCAGTTGCCTCTTGAAAAAAAGCGGGACTCTGGGACTTAGAATAGCCACTTTGTTCAAAGAATTATTGGTGTTATATCTGCATCTAGTTGTACTTCATTTTTTTGTTTTAAAAAAAGGCCCAATAGTGTCAGAAAATAGCTCTATCATTTCTGCTGATGCAGGCGAATAAAACAGCATTTAACATACATTAGATACACAGGGGTGACCTTGAGAAATTAGCTAGCACAGATTGCACTGTGGCCTTCGGCAGCTGGTGCACCATCCCCAAAATGATGCATTTGCCTTCACTGAGTTGCCAACAAGTGCCACCTGTGTGTATAAAGGCACTTTGGCTGTACTGCTTTTGTGCGCGTAGAATTAAAGCCTAGAATTAACCGGGATTAAAATTTTTCAGAGGCTAAAATCCAATTTTATAGCAGCTCTTGATAATGCAGGGAGTCCTTGACTTGTAACCATTCGTTACAGGTTCGCCTGATACGCCAGTTGCGCCCCTTTCTGGATCGGGACTCCTTATGCACGGTCACTCATGCCCTCGTTACTTCCCGCCTGGACTACTGCAATGCTCTCTACATGGGACTCCCCTTGAGGAGCACTCGGAGGCTCCAACTGGTGAAGAATGCGGCCGCGCGGGTACTTATGGGGGCGACATGGCGCTCCCACGTGATACCTCTCCTGCGCGAGCTGCATTGGCTTCCAGTGGTCTTCTGGGTGCGCTTCAAGGTATTGGTTCTCATCTTCAAAGCGCTCCATGGCTTAGGGCCCGGTTATTTACGAGACCACCTTCTGCCTCCGATAACCTCCCACCGGCCAATACGCTCCCACAGAGAGGGCCTCCTCAGGGTGCCGTCGGTCAGGCAATGTCGGCTGGCGAACCCCCGGGGAAGAGCCTTCTCTGTGGGGGCACCCGCCCTCTGGAATGAGCTACCCCCAGGGATACGACTGATCCCGGACCTCCGGACCTTCCGCCGGGCTCTGAAGACTTTTTTATTTCAGCAAGCCAGGCTGGGTTAAAAATCTTTTAATTGGGGAATTTTATGGGTAAGGGGTTTTAAATCGGGGGAAGCCAAAGATAAATTTAATTTTGTTTTATAGTATTTTAATGTTTATATTGTATGTTTTTTAAATTTTGGCTGTTCACCGCCCCGAGTCCTTCGGGAGAGGGGGCGGTATAAAAATTTAAACAATAAATAAATAAATAAATAAAAAATTCGTTTAGTGACTGTTTAAAGTTGCAACGGCATTGAAATAAGTGACTTATGACAGTTCATGCTTACAATCATTACAGCATCTCTACAGTGTCCCAAAGGTGCTTTTCTCAAGAGGCAACTGGGACTTTCGCTTCTCATCCAAGAAGCTTCATCAGCTCTGACTGGATGGCGGGGAATGGAAGAATTTATACTCCTTGCAGACAAATTTGCAAATTTCCAGCTGTCTGCAAGGAATACCGCTGTCCTGACAGAGCTGAAGAAGCTTCTTGGATGAGAAGTGAAACATCTTCAAAAGAAGAAACAAGAAAGTCCAGATGCCTCCTGAAAAAGCACCTTTGGGACAACCAGGACCTGGATGACTGAGAATCTCTACAAACATCTCCATAGTGATGTGATCAAAATTCACAGGCTTGGCGACCGACTCATATTTATGGCGGTTGCAGTGTCCCGGGGTTAAGGGATCTGCTTTTGCGACCTTCTGACAAGCAAAGTCAAGGGGGAAGCCAGAATTCACTTAAACAACTGTGTTACTAACTTAACAACTGCAGTGATTCACTTAACAACGGTAGCAGGAAAGATCGTAAAATGGGGCAAAATTCATTCAACAACTGTCTCGCTTAGCAACAGAAATTTTGGGCTCAATTGTGGTCATAAGTTGAGGACTGCGTGTATCTCAGCCCTGTCTTGTTTTCCAAAACAGGAGGAGGAGGAGGAGGAGCCTGAGTGGCGTAGGAGGCTAATGCCTCCTACTAAGGCAGCATTTAACATCCAGCTGCCTGCAATTACTGCGAGTTCAATTCTCACTAGGCTCAAGGTCGACTCAGCCTTCCATCCTTTCTAAGGTAGATAAAATGAGGACCCAGATTGTGGGGGCAATAAGCTGACTTTGTATAAATATACAAAAGTATGAAGGCTATTGCTTAACGCATTGTAAGCCGCCCTGAGTCTCCGGAGAAGGGCGGCATATAAAAATAAATAAATAAAATAAATAAAAATAAAACATTTGTATATAGCAGCACGTGGGTGAATATGTCTAAACCAGAAAGTGAAGCCAAGAAAGGAGAGAGCTGGCTAATATTTGGATAGAGGACTTCAAGCAAATCTTAGGGATATGAGAATTTGTAAAAAGGATCAAAAGACAATAACGCCGCACTATTTCCACAGGGCTGCCAAGAAAATGTCAAACTAAATGAAGTTACCGGGAGTTCAGCTCTACTGGATGGGACTTTAGCTTTTTATGGGGCTATATAGATTTACTAGAGTGCTTTGGCAAAATGACTTCTTGAAATATTTAAAATGAAAATAATCACCTTAAAAATAAAAAGACAACTATAAACTCCTGTCTTTTTGTTATTAAGTACCGTACTTTTCGGAGTATAAGATGCACTTCCCTCTGCCCCCTAAAAGTGAGTGAAAATTGCAGTGCGTCTTATACACCGAATGTTGCTGAAGCTCCAACCACCTGACAGCCGTTTTCGGCCTCCGTGAGTTGCATTTTTGGACTCGGCACGCCCCATTTTTGGCCTCCGCGGGTCGCATTTTTGGCCGGTTCCAGGCAGCAGGGATCGGCGGCAGCAAATGGGCTGTGGCAAATGGGCCACGACAGCGGCAAACAGGCAGTGGCAGCAAATGGGTGGTGGCGAACGGGCTACAACGGCGGCGAACGAGCCGCAGCGAATGGGTGGCGGTGGCAAATGGGTGACGGCAGCGCCGATCGGGCTGCGGCAAACGAGCCAGACGAATATTGAATGGATGCTGGGAGGCAAAGGCAGGGGTTTTTTTCTTGTTTTCCTCCCAAAAAAAGGTAGGTGCGTCTTTATACCCCAAAAAATACGGTAGATGTACAACTGCCCAGTCGGAGCTTCCTAAAATCTTTTCTCCTGCAGCAGGAGCTCCTTCCCATTTTTTTTTTAATATTTTTTTTTAATTTGATTTATATGCCGCCCTTCTCCGGAGACTCAGGGCGGCTTACAATGCGTTAAGCAAAAGCCTTCATCCTTTTGTATATTTATACAAAGTCAGTTTATTGCCCCCACAAACTGGGTCCTCATTTAACCTACCTTAGAAAGGA